CCTTGAGGTTACTTAATTCATTTAGTAGTCATGTTCATTCCCGTTATTTTGGGATTTTCCAGAGTAATTCAAGCGTTCCTGAATTTCATATACATGTTGCACTTCTGTTCTATTCAATTTGGTCTTCGTGGTTGATTTGTCGAACAAATGTTCAATTCTTAGTACTGAATGCGATATAGAGTTAAGCTGAGCTGAATACTTCCAAAATTTATCATCGAGCCAAACTTGAGAAGACGAACACGCATTCAAGTAATATCTATGTCATCCATGTATTGATATAACTTTAGGGTTGATCTACTCACTTAAATTATTTTCCATTTCTTTTAAAGGTAGTCCAACACCTATACTTATTTTAATTCTTTGATTAATCCAAGACATTTACTTAGTTTAGGCCATAAGGTTATTTTGGTAATTTTGGTGTTCAGTTTTATTCCATTCATTTCAGAGCTCGAGGATATCCAACCATTCCTGAGCTTGGTGATATTCTTGAGTCATTTCCATTACAGGGGTATTTTGGTCATTTTACAGATCTACGATATTTAAATCTTTTCCTTCCATCTGGTATTATTATTTAATTCTAGTTTATCATCTATTTCAGTCCCTTCAAATAATTCTGATAAAAGAGCACCATCCGATAAATATTTCTTCAAATATTTACTCATAACTCGGATATTTTCGGGTCAAGTGCATTCTCAGATTTTACAAACGGAATATCATAAATTTTTATGTACAAAGACAATATCTTAACAATTAAATTCGTACTTAATCGAATTAAGTATAAATCCTCAAAGTATTTTCTCATTCAGGGTCAACTCAGACTATTTTACCTCTCAAGGGCATTTTCGTAATTTCTTAACTAGATACTTTCGATATTAGCTCTTAACGAAAATAATTATAATTTAAAAATCCTATGGTTAATTGTTTTTCTGAACATTCTCTAATCTTGAAATGATTCCTTAACAGACTTCTAGCATCTTGCTCAAACCCTCTTGGGGTTAAAAACCAGTTATTCGCATTTCCTAAGCAAAACTAACATTTCTTATGCACATCAGTAATTTTTACCGGATCAATATGTCTTTCAGAGTTATTAACCAACTTCGAGGGACAATTCTTGTCATCTTAAAATATAAGGGTATTTTCGTAATTTTACCCAACTAGAGTATTCTCATAATTTCTCATCCGAGTACCTTTAATATTTAACCTTTGTTGATATAACATATAAGTTACATATCCAGGGCTGATTCCTTTATCACCAATCACAAAACTTGTAATTTAATTCTAACAATCTCTCAATCTCCTATATTAATCATCTGAACCATAATCAGTTGCCAAATTTCTATTGTGTTCGGATCGAGTGTAAAAATTCATTAACTACACAAATGAGACCAACATTATCTTATTCATACATTTACTAATATTCACATATTCCATAAAGCATAAAGAGATAGTAAAGTATTACCTCATTTTTCGTGCCATATTGGTCGACCATTTAAATTCCATTTGAATGCCTTCGATCTTTAATTCAACTTCCAATATTCTCTCACAATCCATGCCATCAAAATTACTAATTCGTATCCAAATAATTTCCCTCGCCATAAAATAGTTTATCAGAATTTAAATAATAATCTGAGGACTTAATTGGTAAAATTGAGAACTAATGATGCCATCAAAATAGTTAATTACTTAAATTAGTGACTAAATTGATATCGTAAAAACTATTATGTCATAACTATAACCACTTGGAAACTAAGAGACAAGGTAAAGATCTCACCAAACTTGGATGACATACCTTGTGATTTACTCATTTTGCACTTTAATAATAACCCCCAAATCCACGTTATTCCATTGCTCTATTTCACTTTCATTTTTTTCTCTTTCATGTTATGCTCTGTAAGTGAAGAACACTTGCCACGATCGTCGGTACACCACCACGCCGCCTAACGCCATCGATCGCCATTCGTGACCCAAAGTACACCATCAAACTCTTTTTTCCCTAATACGTTCTCCAACACGAATGACCTTTAAGACACCCTTTGATCTTTTAGAAGAAAGAAAACACCATAATTCAGTCCATCTGGTGGACAAAGCTGAGCATGAGTGAGCAAAAGCAAACTTTTGCGCCATATTTCTTTGCCAAAACTGTTACTAAAAGCCCTTATGACCTGCTTATCCAAGTCGTCTACTCTATAGGCATCCAAACGATCAACATAAAGCAAAACATCTATGGTCTTATTCCAAAGAAACCTTTGATCAACTGAAGAGCTTGGTGATAACATAGCCAGCCTCTACAAGTCCTGGAGTATCAATTACATTCAATGTAAACCTTCCCAGGTGCGTGAAACCATTACGGGTCTCAACCCCTCTGACTGGAACGCAGTGACTCGACAACTTGCTCCACAAGAGAGAATTGATAGTAGAAGACTTTCCTACACCGCCTTTGCCCATAAGGATAGTCAAGTATTGACATTCTCTTGCTTTAATTTCCCAACAAATCAAATAATTTTGTTGAGTAGCAGCGGAGAATTATTGAAGGCCAAGCCATTCATAAGGGAGAAGAGTACCCATCACAGAAAACAATGTATCTTCGTGGGTGTAACTTAAGAAAGAGCGTGAGAGAGATGAATGAAGAATTTGGAGAGGTCTTTTAGGGTTGGATTTTTGTGCAGCAAGTGGATGAGAAAAGGAAATAAGATGATTGGGGATTGGATTGGGGGATGGGAAGGTTATCTAGTATGTGGCTTTGGTTGTTTCTTTCGTGCCAACTCTTAGCCACTTGTAGTTTTTTTTTTATTTTCCCAACAACTCTTCCCACTTGGTTCTCTATTTTCCATATAATAATAATAATAATAATAATTAGATTCACATAATTGGGGTGTGACACTCTCCCTTCAGCATATACAAGTTTGCTGCTATCTTTTCGCCTTTCAGCAGCACAAGCGCTCCACGGAACACCTTCATGATTCCATTCTGTGTTTTAATCTTGCTTGCATTATTATCCAACAATCCGTAGGATAATAAATTTTTCTTCAGGCCTTTCACGTGCCGCACATCTCGAATAACTTTAATTGTTCCATCATACATCTCAATTTGATGGTTCCAACGCCAACTATCTCTAAGGCATGATCATTGTAACTATACATAGATCCTCCTGAGACAGGTTCATAATGATGGAACCATTCTCTTCTTGAGGTCATATGATATGTTGCTCCTGAATCAATGAGCCATATATCTGCATATCTCTTTCTGCCTTCCACGGTGGTTGACGCTTCACAACATAGAGCATCTCCATCATCTGAAGTGTTTGCGGTATTGCCTTATGGATTGGAGTTTTTATTTAGACTCCAACAATCCTTCTTCAAGTGACCATTCTTTCCACAGTTGTAACACTTTAAAATTTTCTTGCTCCTCGACTTCGATCTACCATGATTGTGACTGCTGCTTTGGCCTCGTTCTGTTGATCTCCCTCTCATCGTTGTCAACTCTTCTGCTTGCTGCAGATTTACTTGTCTGTCTTCCTTGTTCTTGCGCCGATTTTCTTCTTGGAGAACAACAACTGCAACGTCATCGAAGACTAGACTGGTGACATTACTGTTTGTCAAGTTGATTATGAGTTGATCATACGAATTAGGTAGACTTTGAAGTAGAAGTTCAACACGTTCTTGTTCTCTTATTGTACATCTTAAGGATGTAAGCTGAAAAAATAACGTGTTCAGTGTGTTTAAGTGCTCCGTCACTGAAGTAGATTCTGACATACGGATAGTGTACAATTTCCTCTTAAGGAAAATTTATTGTGCAGCGATGTGGCATCGTACAATTGGTGAGATGATCCCATATCTCCTTAGCTGTCTTCTTCTCCTCGATGCTTGACAATACTTCATCTGCTAATGCTAGATGAAAGTTTGCCATAACATTCCCATCCATTCGATCCATTTGTTGTCATTTGTGAAATCCACCAGCCTTTCACTGATAGCTGTTAGACAATCGTCTTTCCTCAGGATGACCTTCATCTTCAATTTCCACAATGAGAAATTTCTCCATTGAATTTTTCAATATCAAATTTCGTTGCCATAGCTTCTTTTACGGATAGCTCCCACTATTTCACTATCGTGAATAGTTCTCTGGAACCTTCAAAGAATGAGTAATAACTTCTTACTTTCTTATGTTGGAGGATCCACCTTTTGGTGGCAACCACAAAGACAATAAGTAGATATTACACACTCAAATCTGGCTCAGATACCAATTGTTGCGGAAGACGGCTATCGGATAGAGCAAAAATGCAACTCATAATTTGAGAAAAAAATTGAAGATAAAAGAGACACAAAATTTACATGGAAAACCCCTAAATAATATAGGGTAAAAACTACGGGCAACGGTAGAAGAATTTCACTATGAGAAAATAGGAATTACAACTTCTCTCGATCTACCAAGGAGAAAACAATGATAATTCTCTCTTGATAAAAAGGAGAAAACAACTCTTAAGAAACTCTCTAAATTCTCTCTAGTATTGGAAGAAAGCTAGAATGCTTTGGGATGGTTTTTGAAGCTAAATGAGCTAGGTATTTATAGTTAAAGCCTAAGGACTAATTTGTAAATACCCTAAAGTTTAGTGATTAAATGAGTGATTTTACCATGCCAAATTTCAACATTTTTCAGCTACTTTTCGGTGCATTAATTGCACCACCGAAAGCCACCTAAAATTTACAACTTGTTGTTTTGACTTTTTCAACAGATTGAACACTTAAAATTTTGTTTCTTTTTTTCGCTAGAGTGGGAAGAGATCCATAGAAACTATTGCAACAACAACACATAATGCAATGTGTGCGGCCGAAGTACGCATGCTCATTATTCTACCATGTTCCTTTGTCATGTTTTTCTGGAACTGCTGGTAAACAGCATCCGCGGTCTCTACGCTACATAAGACCACAATCTTTTCCTGAGGTGTAGTAGATTTCTGAAAGGTTTGAAAATAAGTCCCGCACGGGGACAAGGAAGAAGCAACATTAGGGATCTGAAAACTTCTAATCTCTTTCAAGGTGCTGGAATCATAAATGCTAATAGCACAGTCAATTTTCGTCACCATAAGCCTCGAACCATCCTCACTAAACTTGGCACTAGTGCAAGGAACTTTTTCAAGCTTAATCCCAGGTTGATTATTGTTATTGAATGGAGGCCCATTCCAGATTGAATATCCATCCGGTTCTCGAACTGCAAAACCCATGAAGTTTATAAAAAGAAGCATAATTATTTAGTACCTAAAATCTCTAAAACCGGTGAAGTTTCCACAGCTGCTGCCATTGGAGGCTAAGATAAGAACTGCAAAAACCCCATGTCAAACAATTCAAGCACATTTCTTTTTAAGGAAACTGCACTTCATTCTTAATTTAAATTAAGCAGACAACCATTTGAGCACATCAACTATATTGTTGTTGCTTGAAACAAAATAAAGAATCAACCTTTCAATCAAATTTGATGAAAACAATAGTAAAATAAAAAAGATTAAAAGCGAGGCTCTATTCAATTGTTTCTTTTGCTACTTTCTTCAAACTTAATTACTGTAAACCTTAGAAAAAATATTAAACGCAAAAAAGTTTCGATTTTGTTTTTTCTTTCTTAACAATTTCTTGAGAAGGGGCAAGGAAAATACTGATCGGATTGAGAAACAGACGTCGTATCTGGCGATCTGTGCTGCCGTCGGTTGAACCCTTTACTTGCAAATCAGCTACTGTAAACTTGCGCTCCGTCTTTTACATGCTGCTAATTGCGTTCCTAGATGAGCAACTTCGTTTCATGTTTGTGCTGCATTTTCCTTTATTTCTCCCTAGTAAATATCAGTGTAAGATAATTTGCAACTTTTATTATAATCTGGGAAGAGTTGAACTTTTTTTTTGTCTGTAATAATTTGGTGAAACTAGTTTTAATTTTACCTATTTATTGTCATTTAGATTGTTAATAAAGTTATAACTTGATTTATTTTATTTTTTTTAATTTAATTCAAATAAAAAAATTGATGGTTTAGAAATTGGCATATCCTAATTATTAAAAATTATATTTTCAATCTATTTTGATATGTGAATTCGTAATTAGATTCTATATTCATTATGCGTGTTAATCGAATTTTCAATTAATATTTGATGATTGTTTGAACGTTCATAATTTGGAAATTGATGTTTGATAATATATGTGATGGCACAAGAGAGACTTGAAAAGCGCACATATGCATTAACCCAAGAAATATATATGTGTTAAGCCTTAGATAATAGACTTATACATAAGTGTTGGTTAACAATGATAATAGATATACCTTCAACATGAACGAACTTACTTACTTTAATAATTAAAAAAATCGTTATTAATGGATTTATGTGTTTAAAAGTAACAATAATGTCACATATAATAAAAAAGATATAAATACTTAACTTTTTTTTTTCAAAAAGGGGTGAAGATCGTTCTTTTAGAATCTTCTAAGAATGCAATAGGAAAATACTTTTAAAACTTAAATTCATGGAACAGTAATACTTTTTGATAAAAGTTAAATGAAGCAGATCATAGATTAGACTCCTCTACTTATAACCCATTAAACCTTCGTGAACCACCAATTTACATGTATCTACAATAATTTTGATGTTGTCTCATAACCTTCGATGGGATTGGAGGCATGCGAGTAGGAGATTTAAGGTTAACAAACGGCATGTACTGAGACAACGGTTTCTGAGAGGGTGACTTCGTGAAGGATTTTTCCATGATAATAAGATTAACACCGACTAGAAGCAGAACGGAGGTGCTCAGTGAAAGTTCATTAAGCAATTTATTTCCTATGATAATAAGTCTTAACGCAGACTACAACAAAAAGCAAACTAAAAGTAAATAAAAGAGATTTTAGTCACAAGGACAGCTAGTGGATGGCGCTCAACAGGCAAACAAATATCAAAGATAGAAAAGAACCCCATGATCACGCCTTTGAAGTTTTGGAGGAGAGTTTAAAGGTTAAACCCGAGCCATCCAATTTCTCTTGAATAAGCTTCTCCATACGTTCAATCATGGATGATGTGAGATAGTGGCTCCAACCTCCCACTTCTTCTTTCCTGAAAAAGACTTTGTATGGAATCCCATAATTAATGTTTGAGCCATTCTTGTTAACTTCCAGTTCTTTCATCTTCTCAAAGCTACAAATCTTAGTTATTTCTTCAACAACTCCTCGTTTCTCTTCATCCTCTGTGAAAGGAACCCCTAAGAACATGGCCAAGTGTTTCAGCTGAGAATTAACGTCTTCCTTAAGATCTTCGTATTTTAGAAACAGTATCTTGTTAGGGTTTTCTTGGCATGCCTTCCAGTAACCCAATACGTGATCAAAAAATTGACCAAACTCATAGATTCCGTGGCAGAACTTGTCAAAAGCTTCATCAAGTGAAAATAACTCTTTGCTTTCGTCTCGAAGTGAGTTTCTAAAATGCCAATAAGAAATGAACATATCCATAGGGTTTCTACATAAGTAAACAATCTTACAGTCGGAATTTTTTATTGAAGTTGGCAAAGAAGCATAAGGAACGTGGGTGGCTAAAAGCCTTGGAAACACAAAAACTTTCTAGATCGGGACAAGGGTTGTTCAAGTAAACAAAAAACTCCAAGTGACGAACAAGTTGGTGAGGATTAAAGGTGAGCCAAGGATTTTCATCTCTTGCAAGCTGGTTGCGGTACAGAGTTGAGAAAGCCAATGCCTTGAGCCAAGTAGTCCCACATTTGGGAATGTGGCGATGAAGATATCGGAATCGGATGCTTGGAAATGTCTTTGGAAAGAAATCAGAGGTTTTAGAATAAAATCTGCGCACCAGAAGCCTTGATAGAGATGAAGATTCGATGCACCGGCCCAACCTTGTTCTTTAGGGAGGGTTTGCACCAGTTGTTTGAGTTCATCATCCCATGACTTCTCCACATCTTGGGACGATGAACCAATTTTAGCCTTGCTGATTTCTGATATATCCATAATGAAAGCAACAACAAATCGAGAAAGGGGTCAAGAAGAGCACTCGATAATTATCATCTTTCGCATGAGTTTCATCTATTTAACAGCAAGTGGACAGAATCCACCGACAAAATGTCTGGCTCTAAAAATTCATACTCCACCCGGTCTAAAAAATAAACAGTTAATTATCATCGTTCGCATGAGTTTCATCTATTTAACATCAAGTGGACAGAATCCACCGATAAAATGTCGGGCTCTAAAAATTCCTACTCCACCCGGTCTCAAAATATCTTAATCTTATCCATTTTCAATTATAAATTCACTAAAACATTTTTTTTACACTTAAGGGTAAATTTTGCCTCTACATTAAGCTCAATTTATCAATTTTTTTTTATCAATTTAACATTCAAAGTTATTTAAAGTATTCATCCTAGCCCTTGAAGTCCGTTGACCGTTCTGACTAACATAATGAGAGGCTCCTGTGTATGTGGATTAAGTGTTTAGGTTAAAATATTTTATTAAACACAATGATTATAACAAATTCTCAAAAAAATATTATTTATTTAAGTGAGATTAAGGGATTATGTCAAATTTTTGAGAATTTTTTTATAACAATTGTATTTAGTAAATATTTTGTTATTTATTTTTTAATACATGTTACGTCATCATCAAATCACGTTTGTAATATTGGTTGATTTGAAAATGACTGATGTTGATAAACGCAAAAGGCTATGGTTTTGTTTGTCAAAATAGACTTTGAAAGTTAGAATAAACACCTTAAACAACTTTGAGAACTAAATTAATGAAAAAACGATAGAGGTAAAATTAATAATTGAGTTTATTATAGGGGCAACACTGACCTTTAAGATTTTTATTTTATTTTATTTGTGTGTGATAGAGCTCTAATACAGATTGCAAAAGAGTAAAAGAGAGAAACAATTTAAAAATAAATAGAAAGATGGGACTACTAGATATTATAGTCGCAAACACAATTAGTTTATGAGAATATTAATTTGAAAAAACTATTTAACTATTATTGAATTTTATCTTATCTGTTGATTATTTTATATTATTAAACTTTTAATTTTATTTATTATAACACTAAATTTTAATTTTACATTCAATTATACTATTTTATCATTAAATTATTAACACAATGATATTATGACTAACGATTATTGATGTTATATCATAACAACGTGCACCGGCCAACCTTGTTCTTTAAGGAGGGTTTGCACCAGTTGTTTGAGTTCACCATCCTATGGCTTGTCCACATCTTGGGGTGGTGAACCGAATTTAATGTTGCTGATTTCTGCTGTATCCATAATGAAACCAATAACAAATCGACAAATAATATCAATACCTTTTGCATAAGTTTCATCTATTTAACAAGCAGTAGACAAATAATCCACCGACAAAATGCTTGGCTCTAAATAATTCCTAGTACACCCAGTCTCAAACTATCTTATTCTTATCGAATATCAAATATAAATTCTTAAACACAGTAATGAAAGATAGTTAAAACTACTTTTGATTATTGTATTTATATGAGTCGAATTAAATTTAAAATTTATCTCTAATAACTCAAATTCAACTAGTTTTAGTAATAAAAATTTTACATTGTTTAGATATGATTTTTTAAAGTATTTGAATATATCTTTTAAATATATATTTATTGAATGATTAAAGATAAATTTTATACATGGGCATTGTCATTGTCATAGTCTGATTCATACTCGTGTAAATATTTGGCATTACCTGAAAATGGAAGTTAAATTTTTAAACCCGTAAGATCTGAGGGTTAAATTGAAATTTAATAAAACTTTGGTGCCTATTTGTGTATTCCCAAAGTATAGAATTTGATAGTATAATAACTCTACGTTTTGGGCATTTAAACACCCATTTTCTCTTCTTTCTTTTTCCCCCTTATTCAAAGTTTCAATTGTTTGTATTCTTTTCTAGTCTCCCACTTTCTCACCTCTTCAGTTTTATGCCACTTTGTCGTCATTTATGTCGTTGCAGGTGTTATCATCGACGCCATTCGATCCAACTCATTGTTCTCTTTCAGCTGATGTCCTTATTTCCTTCAGCATTATCGTCGTCACCGAGCTGGAAGGAGGAAGTTTTTGAAAACTTTACCTCCTCTTCAGTAGGAGACTCTTGACCCCTTAAAGTATAAATCTAAAAAAATTGATGTGTTTTTCGTCATCAGATGGCGACCCACGTGCTGCACACATTACTGCTACAAGTGGAGGAATGTTTACAACAAATCAATCAAACCGATTTAGAAATTAAATTGATTTAACCCTTATTAAATCTGAACTGTTAATCTGATTGTTGGTAGTTTACATTGAATTCTAGTTATTATAATTAGGGATGGGTATGGTCGGGTTTCGACCAACTTTACTAAATCTGAAAATTTTACATCCTTCACTCTACTCGACCCGATCCGAAATCGACCCGACCTTTTGAGATAAAATCTGAACCCGATCAAACCTGACCCGAAATAAAAAAAATATTTTTATTCAATAAAAACAATAATTTAATTGAATATATATATATAGAGCGGTATTATTATAATTATTTCTAAATATATAAGGTAAAATTATTTTTTTGGGGTTGAATCGGGTCAAATATTTTTCACCATAAGCCGAATCTGACCCGACCCGAACAACACCTTTAAAAAATCGACCAGACTTGAACCCGATTTTTTTTTAAAAAAAAACCGACCCAATCGAATTAGATCGGAACCCGTCGAATTTAGGTCTCATACCCGTCCGTAGTTATCATTGTCTTATGTAATGTCACCACACATTACCAGCTTTGAAAATTCGACAAATCCTTGCAGCCACACTTGCTTTCTTTGTCGTTATGTTTTTTTATACCAAGACATCAACTAGATTTCTCACGTAATCAGCGTACAAATCATGAAGCTCCTACACAGCCTCAAACAAATTCAACATACAAAGCGACTTTTATTTTTTGTGATAATAAGACAACTCTCTATAACAAAGGGATTTTAGTCACAAAGACAGCTAGTGGATGGCTCTCAACAGGTCGATATCAAAGCTAATAAAGAACCCCATGGTTATGCCTTGGGAGTGTAGGAGGAGAGTTTAAATGTTAAACCTGAGTTATCAAATTTCTGTTGAATAAGATCCTCCATACGTTCAACCATGGAAGGTGTGAAATAGTTGCTCCAATCTCCCACTTTCCCTTTCCTGAAAAAGGATTTGTGTGGAACCCCAGCAATGCGTGAGCCCTTCTTGTTCACTTCCAGTTCTTCCAACCTCTCAAAGCTGCAAATTTTAGCTATTTCTTCAACAACTCCTTGTTTCTCTTCATCCTTTGTGAAAGGAACCCCTAAGAACATGGCCAAGTGCTTGAGCTGAGAACTGATGTCATCCTTGAGATCTTCGTATTTTAGAAACAGTATCTTGTTGGCGTTTTCTAGGCTTGCCTTCCAGTAACCCAATACGTGATAAAAAAATGGTCCAAACCCACAGGTTCCATGGCAGAACTTGTCAAAGGCTTCATCTAGTGGTAATAACTCTTCCCTTCCGTCTCGCATCATGTCTCTAAAATGCCAAAGAGAAATGAACGTATCCATGGGGTTTCTACATACGTAAACAATTTTGCATTTTGTATCTTTAATGGAATTTGGCAAAGAAGCACAAGGTGGGAGGAAATTACCCCTGGCTTATAAACATTAATATTTTCGAGATCGGGACAAGGGTTGTTCAAGTAAACATCAAACTCTATCTGTCGAACAAGTTGGTCAGGATTAACGGTGAGCAAGGGATGTTCATCCATTGCAAACTGGTTACGGTACAGAGTTGAGAAAGCCAATGCGTTGAGCCAAGTAGTGCCACATTTTGGGAAAGTGGCGATGATAACATCAGATTCAAATGCTTGAAAATGTCTCTGGAAAGAAATCACAGGTTTTAGAATACGAGCTAAGCACCAAAAGCCTTGATAGAGATAAAGACTCCGTCCTCTGATCAAATCTTCTTCTTTAGGGAGTGTTTACACCAGTTTTTGGAGTTCATCATCCAATGATGAACCACTTGTAGTTTTGCTGATTTCTACCGTGTCCATAATGAAAGCAACAACAAATCGAGAAAGGGGTCAAGAAGAGCACTCGATAACTATCACCGTTAACATTGTTTCCTCTATTTAACAGCAAGTGGAGAGACAATCCACCTACTACACCCTGTCTCAAAATATCTTAATCTTATCCATTTTCAATTATAAATTCACAAAAACATTGTTTCCTCTATTTAACATTGTTTCCTCTTAATCTTTTGTATTGAAGTTGAACAAATCCCTACAGAAGTAGAGTTATATTGTTGATTCGAACTAAGTAAACATTTTTTGTATTATTTATTTTACATATTTTACGTTTTCTCTTTCTTTTTTTTAAATTGTTTCCAATACTGCCACTTTAATAATCAACTTTAGTAAAATTATACAAACAATTTTCAAATACAAATTCACAAAACATCATCCAAAGAAATTTATTTTTTATGAAATAACAGAACTCTGAAGTAGATTGAACAGAGGATGGCTCTCAACATGCATATATCAAAGCTAAAGAGGTCGACAACCCATGATCATGCAGAAGAAATGGTATCCTCCGAAGCTTTGGATGAGAGTTTAAATGTTAAACCTGACTTTTCCATTTTCTCATGGATAAGCTTCTCCAAACGTTCAACCATGGAAGGTGTGAGATAGCTCCAATCTCCCACTTTCCCTTTCCTGAAAAATTCTTTGTGTGGGATCCCCATAATGTGTGAGCCCTTCTTGTTCACTTCCAGTTCTTTCAACTTCTCAAAGCTACAAATTTTTGCTATTTCTTCAACAACTCCTTGTTTCTCTTCATGCTCTGTGAAAGGAACCCCTAAGAATATGGCCAAGTGTTTCAGCTGAGAACTGATGTCTTCCTTAAGATCTTCGTATTTTAAAAACAGTATCTTGTTGGGATTTTCTTGGCTTGCCTTCTAGTAACCCAATACGTGATAAAAAAACGGGCCGTATGCATAGATTCCATGGTAGAACTTGTCAAAAGCTTCATCTAGTGATAGTGCCTCTTGGTTTTCGTCTCGAAACTTGTCTGCGAAAAGCCAAAAGGAAATGAACATATCCATGGGGTTTCTACATAAGTAAACGATCTTACAGTGGGAATCTTTGATGGAGGTTGGCAAAGAAGCATAAGGAACGTGGGTGGCAAAAGCCCTTGGCTTATAAACACAATTTTTTTCGAGACGGGGACAAGGGTTTTGCAAGTAAACATCATACTGCAAGAAACGAACAAGTTGGTGAGGAGTAAAGGTGAGCAATGGATTTTGATCACTCGCAAACCGATCACGGTACAAAGTGGAGAAAGCCAAGGCCTTGAGCCAAGTAGTGCCACATTTTGGGATAGTGACAATGATAACATCTGAATCGATTGCTTTGAAATGTTTCTGGAAAGAAATCACAGGTTTGAGATCACGAACTGAGGCTCCTGAGCACCAAAAGCCTTGATAGAGATAAAGACTCATTCCACTGATCCAACCTTCTTCTTTAGGGAGGGTTTGTTCCAGTTTTTGGAGTTCATCATCCCATGAGTTGTCCACATCATGGGCTGCTGAACCAAATTCAGCCTTGCAGATTTGTGTTGTATCCATAGTGAAACCAACAACCAATCGAGAAAGGGATAAAGATGAATGCTTTAAAACTATCTTTTCTTTTCTTTTTTTGCGAAAGTTTCATTGATATACAATCCTCGGCTCCAACTTAAGAATTTATGGTGTTGAACTGTTGATGCTGTCTTCATATGGACTCTGAACCAACTTGGGTAGTTTTGTCTGTTTCACAGCAACTTGAACATTGAATATAGCATAAATTAATGGCGAAGACTAGTTGTATATTATAAACATATGTTATACAGCTTATTAACATGGAAAACATTATCTCTAAGCTTCCTTGCACATTAATATTTCGAAGATTGATAAACAAAAAATACAAAAGATTCCCGAAGATCTGATTAGAAAACCCGAGAAAACAGCAATCAGTCATAAAGCATTAAGGTACAACTTGGAAAAATTAATATATATACCAACCATTCTTTAGTAATGAAACCAAAACAAAAAAGCAAAACACCGCCGCCTCCCTCCGCCTCTTCCTTACAACAAATGGTTCTCCTTTTAATTAAGAAGAAATTGAAAAAAAAAGGAAAAATTTAAAAAAAAAAGCTTAAAACAAAGGAGCAATATATTTTTGTGTGAATTCTATCCAACAATAGATAACGGAGATCAAAGAACAAGAAATTAAAGTATTTGATGCTAAATTTGTAGAGTTTGAAACGTTTTATTATTAAACAAACACCATATTCACATTCTGAAAGAAAGAAAAAACAAGTTTGATTAGGAATTTTGGAACTCATCAATTGTTATCAATGAAAAGAGTAAACTAGATCAAATCATCATGTTGAGATTTGGAAGCAAATGCTTCATCATCCTTCTCCACCTCCCTTATGTTTCATCATCGAGAAAATCAAAGGAAATTCAAAACTACCGATTTTTCTTAAAAAATGAAGAAAGTTTTGGGGTTATTTAATAATTTTAAAAGAAAAATATCTAGTCATAATGTTGTTAAGTGTTTACGGATAGAGTGACCAAAATAGGAGTCAATCAAAAGTTAAGTGGATAAATTAAAAAATTAAATTTTAATGATTAAAATAGGAGTGAGAAGAAAGTTAAATGATGAAATTTGTGATTTATCCTAAAAAATTTAGGGAAAAATCTTTAATGTACCAGGTCAGATTCTCTAAACAACAATCGAAGATGGTGAATATAATGAAAATAAATTTTAATAGTTAGAAATTCAACAAAACACTGATCTTATAATTATAAGATCATTTGCATACTTTATTCATTTTATACAATAATCATTACGTGATTTAACTGATTAAATTCTATATCCCGTGAAAGATCTTCTTACGATATTTATTAATTAAAGATACCTTTTGTTGGTGTTTTGGTCGTAATCAAGCTCTCGCAGCTTGCTCTTGTGCTCGTTTCTACCGGATAATGCTTTCAGTGGGGCTGTTTTGTTTGTTTCTTTATGAATAATAAATCTGTTTACGCCGAGAGAAAAAACGAAAACACCCAAGTTGGTTCAGATTCCATGCGGTGCGGAAGTGGCAAATTTGGATCGCTGGATTGTGCTCTTTTCTCACGAAGATAATTTTTATAATTTATAAAAAAAAATTATTTTAATTGTAAAATACATATTAAAAGAAGTTGAGGCAAAGACAAGTCTCCAATGACTGAATAAAAAAAAATATTTCCATGTAATTGGCAAAGGAGTGAGCTTCAATTTGATTCCATTTCATTTTTGGTTTATTCTAAATTTATATTTTAGATAATGTTTTACTATATAAGTTCATAAAACCTTGATGATTAAGTAGTATAATTAAACAATTACAAATTTGTTACACCCTATCTTAACTCAAAGTAATCTTGGTTGGGCGTATAAACTGACGTAACTTTGGGTAAATGTTTGTAATTTTTTAGTTTAGGGGATTAGAAATAGTATTTGTTTATAGTTTTTTAATTATTGATAATATATATTTTTCAGACGTAAATACTTAAATTCAAGACTGTAAATCATTAAGATTATTTAATAAAAAAAAGATACTTATAACTTTTTAAGAGTTGTGATAGAATGTATTCATATTTAGCATTAATTTTTTTTTTTATTTTCAAATATAAACTCAACATACAAAGCAATTTATTTTTTTATTATAATAAGATCACATTAACACAAACAATATTAAAAAACAATTTTTTTTATAAAAATACATAATTGGGATTAAAAGATATTTTAGTAACAAGACAGCTAGTGGATGGCTCTCAACAAGCAAATACCAAAGCCAAAAAGACACCCATGATCATGCTTATGAAGTTTTGGATGAGAGTTTAAATGTTAAAAGTGAGCCATCCAATTTCTCTTGAGTAAGCTTCTCCATACGTTCAATCATTGAAGGTGTGAGATAATTGCTCCAATCTCCCACTTTTCCTTTCCTGAAAAAGGCTTGGTATGGAATCCCATTAACGTGTGTGCCTTTCTTGTTAACTTCCAGCTCTTTCAACTTCTCAAAGCTACAAAGCTTTGCTATTTCTTCAACTACTCCTTTTCTCTTCATCCTCTGTGAAAGGAACCCCTAAGAACATGGCCAAGTGTTTCAGCTGAGAATTGATGTCCTCCTTAAGATCTTCATATTTTAAAAACAATATCTTGTTGGGGTTTTCTTGGCTTGCCTTCCAGTAACCCAATACATGATCAAAAAATGATCCAAACCCACAGATTCCATTGCAGAACTTGTCAAAAGCTTCATCTAGTGATACTAGCTCTTTGTTTTCTTCCCGAAGCTTGTCAGCGAAATTCCAAAGAGAAACGAACATATCCATGGGGTTTCTACATAAGTAAACAATCTTACAGTGGGAATCTTTAATGGAAGTTGGCAAAGAAGCATAAGGGACGTGGGTGGAAAAAAGCCATGGCTTATAAACACAAACGTTTCCCAGATCGGGACAAGGGTTGTTCAAGTAAACATCACACTCCAAGAAACGAACCAGTTGGTGAGGAGAAAAGCTGAGCAAGGGATTGTCATCTCCCGCAAACTGATTGCGGTACAAAGTGGAGAAAGTAGAGGCCTTGAGCCAAGTAGTGCCACATTTTGGGAAGGTGGCGACGATAATATCAGAATCAAATGCTCGGAAATGTTTTTGGAGAGAAATCACAGGTTTTAGAACAAGAGTTGTGAACCAAAAGCCTTGATAGAGATACAAACTGGTTCTACTGATCCAACTTTCTTCTTTAGGGAGGGTTTGCGCCAGTTGTTGGAATTCATCATCCCATGATTTCACTACATCTCGGTTTAGTGAAATAAATTTGGGTTTGCTGATTTCTGCTGTATCCATAATCACACCAACAGCAAAATCCTGAAAGTGGCCGAAGAAGAGTGCTCAAAAGGGGACAACCACCGATTCAAAATTTTCTCCCTTCAACACCATGTCAATACTGGGTTCCAACCAGCTGAGATCTAAATAGTGATTCGATAATTATTGATATCGAATATCGCAATCATATAGTAATTAAATCATATAATAATTAAATAGCGATTACAATAATTAAAAGTATCGAATATTACAATCATATAATAATATTTTTAGATAGTATTCCGATAACATAACATTATTCAAATCTCACTCCAGTTTAAGAATTCTTAATCCAGCTGGCCTCAAAATATTTTAAATTTTTTCAAATTATTAAACAACCCAAGTGGAAATTGTTTTTGTCTGCAACTTGAACATTGAATATAACTTAGAATGACGGAGTCGTGATTAATATTCAATTACGAGTTTTAGAAGGGTTGGTGTAATAGTAGTTTACACCTTATGTAGACAATTTATATTTAAATTTTAAAGAGGTTACCGTTGAAAGATATGAAAATTATAATCAAACATAGAGATATTATGAAAAATATTTTATCTTGAAATTTTTATTATTTTATTGTTTAGGTCGAAGTATAGGTATAACTGGTGGCTGAACCCCCGACTCCCCTCAATCGTGGTCTAATCTTTCGTCTATCTTATAAGCCATTAACCTTTAAAGTTTTCAATTACAATATAAATTTCACAATCCATAAGATTGAAATTAACAAACGAAAATAGAATAAACATGATCATCATTCAATATAAATAAACTATTAAATATAATTAGGGTTGTAAAAAACTGACCCGACATGTAAAACTAACTGAACCGACTTGAATCAAAACTGATTGTGACCCATGTAGAGATGATCTGAAATGATTCGAGTTCGAATTTGTGTTGACCTGAACCCGATTTGGACCTGAAAATTATGGATGTAAACCCAACTTGCACCCGATCTAAGAACGACCTGAACCCGAATTGAACATATAATATGATAATCGAACCCGACCTGCATCCGACCGATATGAACCTGAACCCGAGATTAATTGGTAAACAACTGGTATTACCCAATTTGTTATCAACCTGACCTGCTATGAACATGACCTGTAAATGATCTGACCTGTAAATGATCTGACTTGTTATTGACCAACCTGATATGATATTTACCTGACTTGATATTTACCCGACTTATTAGTAATAAGTTACGATTGATGCAATTATGAGATTTTAAATTTATAATAAACTTGTGATAATTAAATTAATATGATTAATTTTTTAAATTTAAAATAAATTGTTAGTTACGATAACTAAATTAATAAATTTACTTTCTATATTAATTATAATCCTTATATTATAAATTTTAATTATAATCATTAAATTAATTTTATTATATAATTTAGTTATTGTACATGATTTTATTAGATTATATAAAATTAATTAATATATTTATAAGTTTATTTTATTTTTATGTAAAAATTGATTAATAATATAAAAATAATTTAACTTAATATATATATATATATAAAAGATGAAATTATTTGAAATTTGAAATTTGAATAACATAACAAATTCTAAAACTAATCATTTATAAATAAATAAATAAATAAAATTTATTACACTTTTTTAATACACTAAAATTATAAAAAAATCAACTAAACAAATTTATGTTAAAATTTATACTCTTGTCATCACCCATTTTATCTAGGTGATGACATTAATATAAACTATATATTAGTAAATACCATATACCATTTTCATATTCCATATATATATATATATATATATATATATATATATTACCTATGTTATAAATAAATATAACATACTTTTATTCAAGTCCAAAAATAATAAAAACCCATTTATATTATATATAAGTCCATTTTCATAAATTAGGACCCAATAAATGAAATTCATTAAAACAATAAAAAAATATTTAGTCCAAATTACAAGCCCAACGTGATACAAAAGTTAAATCTATTAAATGACTCTATCTTTTTAAGTGTCATGTCACTAATCTTGATGAACAAAATTAAATCAATTTAGACTTTTGATAGGATTTGATCCAAAGACTATTATTCTTTAAGGCTTATATTTTATATATATACTTTATACTTAATAATTTATAGTTAATTATACATGCATAAGTATAACATACATTAAATATACATACATCATATTATCATAACATTCATCATACACACATATATTATAAATGTTTCAATTTCTCCTAAACTTCTTAAATGAATGCAATTTAATCTATTTTACAATTTTTCCTCACATTTTACAATTATTTTGACTTGATCCTTTTATGTTGTTTAATTTATTTTAATTTTAATTTATAATTTCATATTTGTTCAATTTAGTCCTTAAAATTATATTTGTATCTGAAATTGACTCATACTTATTTATATTTTTTTAATTTACTTCAATCCCTATAAATCACATAATAAATTTCATTTCAAATTCTGTAAACTTTGTTCACCAACCTTTTAAATGTATGCAATTTATTCCATTTTATATTAATTTCAACTTCACATTTTATAATTACTTCAATTTGATCCCTCATCTATGCGCGTTGTTTAGTTTATTTAAAATTTTGTTTCTAATTTCATGTTTTTTCAATTTAGTACTGCAAATTATATTTTTATCAAAATTGACCCATAATTATTTGTAATTTATTCTAAATCATATACAATTACAAATTACAATTCGACGTTCTCACATTCAAGAAACATTGAAAGGAGAAAAATAATTAACTAAAAAATGACCCGACTTGAAGTCAATCTGTATCCGGTAAAATATGACATGAATTTTGTCTGTCAATGATGTGACCTGATCTGAACGAGATCCGATTGATGTCCATCCGAACCTGAATTAACCTGGTATCTAACTTCTTCGGACCTGAACAGTTTTGACCTGAACTGACATAGATCCAAACTGAAATTAACCTACCTAAACACGAACTGTATCTGATATCAAATCAACTTGAAAATGATCGGAACTGATTCGACTTGGACTCGACCTAATTTGAGCCAAACCATTAAATTAACCTGACTCAACTTGTATCTGATTCGACCTAACCTGACATGATTCGACTAAAACCTGAACGATTACATGATTTTACAACCCTAAATATAATCACTTTTATCATCACCCATTTTATCAAAGTGATGACATTATATAGTATTATTAATTATATATTGTATTATATTATTTCTATATCCATATACATGCATTACTCATGTTAAAAAAATATAGTGTACTTTTATTCAAGTCCAAAAAATAATAAAAGCTCATTTATATTACATATAAGTCCATTTGCATATATTAGAACCCATAGATGAAATCCATTTAAAAAACATGTAGCCTAAATTACAAACTCACCATGATACAAAAGTAAAAAATCTAAACCCTAAATTTCGTTTTCACATCCACACCATCTTTTACCAAGGGAGAAAACTTGTTTGAATATTATCTTGGGAAGAAAAGCATTAAATTGGCTCTACTTTTTAGGATTGCCACCTTAAAAATCCATGTGAACATAACTATTTGCATATGAACCCCTAACTCCCTTCAATCGGGATCTAATCTTTCGTCAATCTTATAAGCTATTAACCTTTAAATCTTCCGATTACAAGATATATTTCACAATCCATAAGATTAAAATTAACAAGCGAACATAGAATAAAGATGATCATCAATTAATATAAATAAACTATTAAATATATCGACTTTAATTGAGGTTCAAATAGTTTCTTAAGGTGTCCCTACCAAATATCCTATATGAGGTTCAGATAGTTTCTTAAGATGTCCTGGTTTAGCTCGCGTGTTGACGTCTTGTCACTGTATTATCTGAGGTGTTGTTTTTCTTAGATTGGTTTTAATTTTGATTTAATATCATTGTTTATAGGGTTGATTTTCCTTTTTTAATAATAATAAACTCGTGTTGCCACAAAAGAACCACCCGGATGATAAAAATATTATAAAAGTAAAATTCACACCATATATTGCATGAGGTAGATGATAATGATGTAAAATTGTTATACTTTCGGGAATAAATTTTGTATAGATTAAATTATTCTAATCTATCATTATCTTTTAATAAGACAATTGAAAAATTCAAAAAAATTAAAAATTTAAATCTCTTAACGGACACTTACATTAATTACCTTATCTTGTTATAGGCAATAATCATAATTCTAGGACTGCTATCTTCAACAAGTATAAGAGATTAATATATAAAATCCGTCTAAAACGAGAGAAGGGGACTCTCGAATCTTTATCAGTTTCACACATTATCTTTTTTCTTCTCCACACATAATTCTAGGTGACCTTAATTACCTACAACTCCCTTATAATTAGTGTTTAACTATCGATCGATCATTAATTATGACTCTTTATTCAAATAAGAAAGTATGAACCACCATCAACTAATATAACTATATTTGTTCTATCAGTAAAAATTAAGATAAAATTTATGTACAAATAACAAGATAACTGTCACACAGAAAATTACATAAATAAATAAATGGGAGTGAGATATTTTAGTCACAGAGACAGTAAGTGGATGGCTCTTAACAATCAGATTCTAAAGCTAAAAAAAAGACACACAACGATCGGGAAGAAGCAATACTATCCTCTAAAGATTGTTGCGGAAGCCGGCTATCGGATAGAGCAAAATCATAATTGATAATTTGAGAAATTAAAAATAAAGATAAAGAATACACAAAATTTACGTGAAAAACCCTTAAATAATATAGGGTAAAAACTATGGGCAACGATAGAAGAATTTCACTATGAGAAAAATAGGAATTACAACTTCTCTCGATCTACCAAGGAGAAAACAATGACAATTCTCTATTAATAAAAAGGAGAAAACAACTCTCAAGAAAACTCTCTAAATTCTCTAGTATTGGGAGAAAGCTAGAATGATTTGGGATTGTTTTGAAGCTAAATAAACTAGGGTATTTATAGTTGAAGCTTAAAGACTAATCTTATAAATACCCTAAAATATATGGACTAAAGTTTGTGATTTTACCATTTCAAAATTCAACAAAAAACAAGCTAACTTTCGGTGTCCTCCCAATTGTTTGACAATTATAATATTTTTTTTATAACTTTCCACCTTTTGGTGGAATGCAACAATTTTCAACAATCTCACACTTGAAAATTTGATTGGAACAATCATATCTTCACACAATTCTTTCTACCTTGTACCTTCAAGTTACTTACATTTTTGACAGGCCACAAGAGGATCGACACCAAGTAAATTTATTAACATTGATCGCCTTCGTCATGAAATCTGATATGTAGTCTTTGGTATGGATCTTATGCATATCTACCGTCCATTCTTCCACCTTTTCACGAATGAAATGATACTGAATTCGTATGTGCTTTGTCCTTGAATGAAATGCAGAATTCCTTGCTAGATGCAAGGCGTTTTGACTGTCACAAAACAGAGAGACATACTCTTGATTATGCCCAATCTCCTCTAATAACATATTCAACCAAATTATTTCTTTACTGGCTTGTGTAGCTGCTACATATTATGTCTCTGTTGTGGACGTAGCTACAACTGACTGCAATTTTGAAACCCAGCTTACAGCTCCACCAGCAACTTTGAACACATATCTTGTAATAGATTTGTTTTTATCCAAATTCCTTGCATAGTCAGAATCAACATACACATTGATAAGTAAATTTGATCATTCGTAATATAATGCAACATTTGAGGTCCCTTTGATGTATCTCAGGATCCTCTTTATTGTATTCCAAAGGCTCATTGCCTGGATTCTCCATGTACCAACTCATCACTCCCACTGCTTGTGTAATGTCTGGTCTTGTGCATATCATAGCGAACATCAAACTTCCCACTATCGATGCATACGGTACTCGAGACATCTCCATCCTCTCCTCTTCACTGCTAGGACTCATATTGGAAGATAATTTGAAGTTAATAGGAAGAGGGGTAAAAATTGGCTTACAATCTTACATGTTGAATCGTGACAAGATTTTCTTCAAGTAATTCTTTTGTGAAAGCCAAGTCTTCCTATTACTTCTGTCTTGGTGAATTTGCATCCCTAGAATCTTGTTTACTGATCTCAAGTCTTTTATTTCAAATTCCTTTGCCAGTTGTGCTTTCAATTCTTCAATATGATCTTTGTTGGGTCCTGCAACCAACATGTCATCCAAATACAACAGTAATATAACAAAATTGTTATCACCAAACCTCTTGAAATAAGCACAAGGGTCTGCATTAAGTCTGTTGTATCCAAGGCACATAATGAAGGAATCAAATCTCTTATACCAACACCTCGGCGCCTGCTTTAGACCGTACAGAGATTTGTTCAACTTGCAAACCAAGTTCTTCTTTTCTTCTTCTTCAAAACCTTCAGGCTGGAGTATATAAATATCTTCTTCAAGATTTCCATGAAGAAAAGATGTTTTAACATCTAGTAACAAATCAATGCTTGGCTCCAGCTTAAGAACTCCTACTCTAGCCGGCCTCAAAATATTAAAACAAGTAAACAACCCACATGGAATCTTAGCTTACGTAGTTCCTATATTCTGTTTTACACATGCAGCAACAGTTCAAGTATTAAAAAACAAAAGGTTTGCTATGAGGTTACTTTCCCAATAGCATATCTCAACGGTGGTTATGAAACTAGAATAATTTTTTATACCTCTTAAGAGACGTCATAAAGGATATCTTAAATTTATAAATCTCATAAAAATGATACGTTGTTTAAGAAAAAAAGATGTCAAGACTCTTAAACTCAGCCATAATTCGTTTGAACTACTTTGAGTTAAGTTTGCTGTTAAACTGATTCTTTCTGCCATTTGATGAAATGATCGAATATAAGTTGTTGCATCAAACTTCCCAGCTAGAAAGAATATCCAAGTATATCGTGTATGCATCAACAAAGCTGATTTAGTAACTAGAGTTATTACTTATTATATTGGCATGACCACATAAATCAAGATGAACTAATTGAAGTGGTTGATCATAAATAGTTGTAGAAGCATGAAATAGTGACTTGTGGCTTTTTCTCAATTTACAAGCAACACAAAAAGAAATATTGCATCCTTTGAGTACTTTTGTTAGCGTGGTATCAGAAGGATGACCAACCTTCTAAGTCATTGCTCAATATTGCTAAGTAAAGAAGGGCTTCAGAATTTCTACTCTGAACTCCAGTAGATTCATCAGCAGACTGCGGCTCATATAAACCATCACTTTCAAAACCTTGAAGGATCGTCTGCTGTGATGCTAAATCATTCACAAGAAACAACAAGCAGGATAAAAATTCATTGAAACGTTAGTCTTTGGTAAACTTAGAATTTTTCCTTGATGCTGGGAACATGCAACAACTGATTTAAAAGCAAAGGTATAGAATGTGTTACCAACGAAGCTTATCCAGTTCTAGATATTAGATCATTGGAGCCATTAGCCACACAGTACTTACCTATTCCTTAATATCGAGTGGATTTAACATACGCATTGATGTCTGGTCTGAGACGGGTCTTCCCTGTCGACCACCACACCCCCTATAGGGCATTTGAACCTTCCTTTGAGGAGATACAACAGATCCAGAAGTTACGATACTTTGTAAACCATTATGAGAAGGCATCACATTGTTGAAACTAGGGTACACACCCTGATTAGAAAGGCTTGGAAAAACTGAGCTTTGAACTGAAGAACACTTAATGGACTACCATTATGATTAAGAAAAGTATGTCTTTGACCCAGAACATTTGAGTGTGGACCATGTACCGTGTTGATCGCAAGATTCTGAGTTAACACATCTTGCTGTCATGCTTCAGTGTCAAGAAGTACATTGCATACTCCATCAATCTTAAATGGTTTCTGGCTAGAAGTAATAACCGCTACAACTGGTTCATATTCAAGTGGAAGTCCTGAAAGTATAGTTGACATATCCATTGTCTCAGTAAGGGGATTTCCACTCTGCAAGACTGTCACAAATTGTTTGGCTTTGCGCAAGATACTCTCTCCTTGTTTGATCTCTCTTTCTTAGTCTTTTCAAAGAGCAACGGAAGGTCATAATCTTTGTAATGGATGAGATTGAGAAAATATGCTGAACTTTTTATCGGATTTCTGAAGCAGTCTTGTAACTAACATGTGTTGGCAAGATAAGGACTGATCGAGGCAAGAAGCCAAGAACACAAGGCATTATCTTTATGTTTGAATGAAAAATTCTAACTTTGACACCTTTATTATTAACAACATACTGAGACGGTATTGACAGAGTCCCGTCAATATGTCCAACTAAAGCAAGACTTGCAATCGGTATCTTTAATGGAAGAGGGCAAAGAAGCATAAGGAACGTGGGTGGCAAAAAGCCTTGGATTATAAACACAAATATTTTCCAAATCGGGGCAAGGGTTGTTCATGTAAACATCATACTCCAAGGGACAAACAAGTTTGTGAGGATTAAAGGCGAGTAAAGGATTTTCATCGCTTGCAAACTGGTTGCGGTACAGAGTTGAGAAAACCAATGCCTTGAGCCAAGTAGTGCCACATTTTGGGAAAGTGGCAATGATAATATCGGAATCGGATGCTTGGAAATGTCTCTGGAAAGAAATCAGAAGTTTTAGAATATGATCTGAGCACCAAAAGCCTTGATAGAGATAAAGGCTCCATCCACTGACGCAACCTTGTTCTTTAGGGAGGGTTTGCACCAGTTGTTGTTCATCATCCCATGAATTCTGATTTCTGCTGCATCCATGATGAAACCAATAACCAATTGAGAAAGGGATATGAAGAAGAGCGGTGAATAACTTTCTTCTTCTAGCAACGAGTCAATGCTTGGCTCCAGCTTAAGAAAATTCCTACTCCAGCCGAACTCAAAATAGTAAAACAACAGGCAACTACAGTTGTAGTAAAAACAAAAGGTTTGGTATGGGTTTACTTTCCCAATAGCATATCTCAACGGTGGTTATACAACTCTAATACATGTTACCAACAGAAAATTAAGAATAAAGAGATAAATAAGACTAGAAAAGATTTTAGTCACAAAGACAGCCAGGGGATGGCATCAAAGCCGAAAGGACGGCCCATGATCATGCCTTTGAAGTTTTGGAGGACAGTTTAAATGTTAAACCTGAATTATCCAATTTCTGTTGGATAAGCTTCTCCAAGCGTTCAACCATGGAAGGTGTGAGATAATTGCTACAATCTCCCACTTTCGCTTTCCTGAAGAAACTTTCGTTTGGAATCCCAGGAATGAATAAGCCTTTCTTGTTCACATCCAGTTCTTTCAAGTTCTCAAAGCTACAAACTTTTGCTATTTCTTCAACAACTCCTTGTTTCTCTTCATCCTCTGTGAAAGGAACCCCTAAGAACATGGCCAAGTGTTTCAGCTGAGAATTGATGTCTTCCTTAAGATCTTCATATTTTAAAAACAATATCTTCTTGGGGTTTTCTTGGCTTGCCTTCCAATAACCCAACCCATGATCAAAAAATGGTCCAAACGCACAGACTCCATGGCAGAACTTTTCAAAAGCTTCATCTAGTGATACTAACTCTTGGCTCTCGTTTTGAAGCTTTTCAATGAAAAGCCAAAGAGAAATGAACGTATCCATGGGGTTTCTACAAACGTATACAATCTTACAGCGGGAATCTTTAATGGAAATCGGCAAAGAAGCATAAGGAACTTGGGTGGCAAAAAGCCTTGGTTTATAAATAGAGATGGTTTCGAGATCGGGACAAGGGTTGTTGACGTAAACATCATACTCCAACTGATGAACAAGTTGATGAGGAGTAAAGTTGAGCAAGGGATTTTCATCCCTCGCAAACTGATTGCGGTACAAAGTTGAGAAAGTCAAGGCCTTGAGCCAAGTGGTGCCACATTTTGGGAGACTGGCGACGATAACATTAGAATCAACTGCTGGGAAATGTCTCTGGAAAGAAATCACTGGTTTTAGACGACGAGCTGAGCACCAAAAGCCTTGATAGAGATAAAAACTGGAACCACTCCAACCTTCTTCTTTAGGGAGGGTTTGCAGCAGTTGTTGGAGGTCATCGTCCGATGATTTATGGGCATCTTCGGTTAGTGTAACAAGATTGGCTTCGCTGATTTCTGCTGTATCCATGATGAAACCGACAGCCAATCCAGAAAGGGGTAAAGAAGAATGCTCAAAAACTTCAGCACCAAGTCAATGCTTGTATCCAACTTAAGAATTCCTACTCCAGCCGGCCGCAAAATATTTTTAAATTGTTTAAAGTATTAAATAATCCACATTGAATATGGCATTAGAGTGATGGCGAGGAATATTTAATTACAACGAGTTAAAATATGTTTAACTTATCTGTTCCACGATCTTTAAAGTGTTTCAACGTGTGCTCCACCATCATTATACTCATAATCCCCATGTGATGTGAATGGTAATAAGCGAGGAATCCCGAGGTATATATTTCACGGTAGATATATACAAGATGGTTATAGGTGGGGTATTTTCCACTCGAATTTGAATAAATTAAATCAAGTCGGACCCCTCAAATTTGAATCAAATATCTATCCATCGGATAGGAACCTGTTGCGGAAGACGGTTATCGGATAGAGTAAAATCGCAACTGATAATTTGAGAAAATAAAAATGAAGATAAAAGAGATACAAAATTTACGTGAAAACCCCTAAAAATTTAGGGTAAAAACCACGGGCAACGGTAGAAGAATTTCACTATGAGAAAATATGAATTACAACCTCTCTCGATCTACCAAGGAGAAAACAATGATAATTCTCTCTAGATAAAAAGGAGAAAACAACTTTCAAGAAACTCTCTAAAATCTCTCTAGTATTGGAAGAAAGCTAGAATGCTTTGGGATGGTTTTGAAGCTAAATGAGCTAGGGTATTTATAGTTGAAACTAAATGACTAATCTTGTAAATACCCTAAAAGTACAATGACTAAATTAACATTTTTACCATTTGAAAAATTCAACATTTTCAAGCTTAATAATTTTGATAGCCGCCCATGTTTTGTTTCCTTTCAACAATCTCCCACTTGAAGATTTGATTGGAACAATCATATCTTCACATCATTCTTTCTACCTTGTACCTTCATGTTGCTTACGTCTCTGATAGGCCACAAGAGGATCGACACCAAGTAAATTTGTCGGCATTGATCGCCTTCGTCATGAAATCTGCTATGTTGTCTTTGGTATGGATCTTCTGTATATCTACTGTCCCTTCTTCCACATTTTCACGAATGAAATGGTATTGAACTCGTATGTGCTTTGTCCTTGAATGAAATGCTGGATTCCTTGCTAAATGCAAGGCGCTTTGACTGTCACAAAACAGAGAGACATACTCTTGATTGTGCCTAAGCTCCTCCAATAGCATCTTCAACCAAATTTCTTCTTTACTGGCTTGTGTAGCTGCTACATATTCTGCCTCTGTTGTAGATGTAGCCACAATTGACTGCAATTTTGAAACCCAGCTTACAGCTCCACTAGCAACTTTGAACACATATCCTGTAGTAGATTTGCTTTTATCCAAATCCCCTGCATAGTCAGAATTGATTAGTAAATTTGATCCTCCATAACATAATGCAACATTTGAGGTCCCTTTGATGTATCTCAGGATCCTCTTCACTGTATTCCAATGCTCTTTGCCTGGATTCGCTATGTACCGACTAACCACTCCCACTGCTTATGCAATGTCTGGTCTTGTGCATATCATAGCGAACATTAAACTTCCCACTGCTGATGCATACGGTACTCGAGACATCTCCATCCTCTCTTCTTTACTGCTAGGACTCATACTGGAGGATAATTTGAAGTTAATAGGAAGAGGGGTAGAAATTGGCTTACAATCTTGCATGCTAAATAGTGACAAGATCTTCTTCAAGTAATTCTTTTATGAAAGCCAAATCTTCCTATTACTTCTGTCTCGGTGAATTTGCATCCCTAGAATCTTGTTTGCTGATCTCAAGTCCTTCATTTCAAATTCCCTAGCCAGTTGTGCCTTCAATTCTTCAATATGATCTTTGTTGGGTCCTGCAACCAACATGTCATCCACATACAACATCAATATAACAAAATCGTTATTACCAGACCTCTTGAAATAAGCACAAGGGTCTGCATTAAGTCTGTTGTATCCAAGGCACATAATGAAGGAATCAAATCTCTTATACCAACACCTCGGCGCCTGCTTTAGACCGTATAGAGATTTGTTCAACCTGCAAACCAAGTTCTTCTTTTCTTTTTCTTCAAAACCTTCAGGCTGGAGCATGTAAATCTCTTCTTCAAGATTTACATGAAGAAAAGCTGTTTTAACATCTAGCTGCTCTAGATGTAAGTTCAATGTAGCACACATTGCCAAAACTACTCGAACTATTGTTAGTCGAACCACAGAAGAAAATATTTCATTGAAATCAATACCTTCTTTTTGAGCATATCCTTTGACCACCAGTCTTGCACGATACCTCTCCACTTGATCATCACCATTTCACTTGATTTTTAAGACCCATTTGTTACCAATTGGCTTCCTTCCTTGTGGTAGTGGCACAAGGTCCCATGTATTATTTTTATGAAGGGCTTCGATTTCTTCTTGCATCGTCATCATCCACAGTGAAGCATCTGAGTTGTTTATTGCCTCCTGAAATGTTGATGGCTCACCGTCCTCTGTTAAAAGGCAGTATGCAATATTACCTTCTATAACATAATCTGAGTGCCAATTGGGACGTCTTCTCACACGATTTGATTGACGAGTTGTTGGAGCTTCAGAACTCTCTGGTTCTTGTTCATCATGTGCTGGTTCTGCTTCAGAAGAATCTCCTTGTTCAACCTCCTTTTTCACATGTATCTGAGTAGTCTCTGACTTTTCAGCGTTATCATCCTCTTCTTTTCTTTGTAGTTTATCCTCTACAAAGATAACATCCCTGCTGATGATCACTTTGCGGGCAGTGGGATCCCACAAGCGATACCCCTTTACTCCATCAGCATACCCCAAGAATTTGCATTTCCTGGATTTTGGATCCAGCTTTGAAATTTCTTGGGAGTTGTACATCACGTACACGACACTTCCAAATACATGAAGGTTTGAATAATCAGCTGGTTTACCAGTCCACATCTCCATTGGTGTCTTCAGCTCTAATGCAGTTGATGGAGCTCGATTCACCAAATAACAGATGGTATTGACTGCTTCTGCCCAGAATGATTTTTCTAGGCCTGCATCTCTCAACATTGCTCTTGTTCTTTTTAACAAGGTTCTGTTCATCCGCTCTGCCACTCCATTTTGTTGAGGAGTGTTCGCCACTGTGAACTGTCTTTTGATGCCTTCTTTCCTGCAAAAGTCATCAAATTCTTCGCTTGTGTATTCTCCTCCATTATCTGTTCTGAAACACTTGATCTTATTTCCAAAATCAAGTTCCACCCGCGCTTTGAAGTTTTTGAAAGTTGAAAACACGTCTGACTTCTTTTTAATAGGGTACACACAACATCTCCTGGAGTAGTCATCAATAAAAGAGACAAAGTATTTTGCTCCGCCAAGGGATGTAACCGGTGCTTGCCATACATCAGAGTGAACCAATTCTAGAACACTTTTGCCTCTAGAATTTGATGTGTTGAATTTCAACCGGTGCTGCTTACTTGTTATACAGTGCTCACACAAAGTAAGTGATACATTTGTTAAGCCTGAAAGTAGTTTTTGCTCCACAAGGACTTTCATTCCTTGTTCTTACATGTGTCCAAGTTTCTGATGTCATAGCATTGCAGAATCTGAACTACATGAGGCAACAGAGGCTTCTGCTTCTAGCAAAGTCTCTCCTTTCAGCATGTACAAGTTTGCTGCTATCTTTTCGCCTTTTAGCGCCACAAGCGCTCCACGGAACACCTTCATGATTCCTTTCTGTGTCTCAATCTTGCTTGCATTATTATCCAACAATCCGTAGGATAATAAATTTTTCTTCAGGCCCTTTACGTGCCGCACATCTCGAACAACTTTGATTGTTTCATCATACATCTTCAATTTGATGGTTCCCACGCCAACGATATCTAAGGCATGATCATTGCAACTATACACAGATCCTCCTAAGACAGGTTCATAATGATGGAACCATTCTCTTCTTGAGGTCATGTGATATGTTGCTCCCGAATCAATGAGCCATATATCTGCAAATCTTTTTCTGCCTTCCACGGTGGTTGACGCTTCACAGCATAGAGCATCTCCATCATCTGAAGTGTTTGCGGTATTGCCTTGTGGATTGGAGTTTTTATTGAGACTCCAACAATCCTTCTTCAAGTGACCCTTCTTTCCACAATGGTAGCACTTTAAATTCTTCTTGCTTCTCGACTTTGATCTACCATGTTTGTGACTGCTGCTTTGGTCACGTTCTGTTGATCTCCCTCTCATCGTTGTCAATGCCTCTGCTTGTTGCAGATTTACTTATCTGTCTTCCTTGTTCTTGCGTCAATTTTCTTCTTATAGAACAGCAACTGCAACGTCATCGAAGACTAGACTGGTGACATTATTGTTTGTCAAGTTGATGATGAGTTGATCATACGAATCCTGTATACTTTGAAGTAGAAGTTCAACACGTTCTTGTTCTCCTATTTTACAGCTTAAGGATGTAAGCTGAGAAAATAAAGTGTTCAGTGTATTTAAGTGCTCCGTCACTGAAATAGATTCTGACATCCGGAGAGTGTATAATTTCCTCTTAAGGAAAATTTTATTGTGCAACGATGTGGCCTCGTACAATTTGGTGAGATGATCCCATATCTCCTTAATTGTCTTCTTCTCCTCGATGCTTGACAATACTTCATCTGCTAATGCTAGATGAAAGTTTGTCATAGCATTTCCATCCATCTCGTTCTATTTGATGTCATCTATGAAATCCACCGGCCTTTCACTAATAGCTGCTAGACAACTGTCTTTCCTCAAGATGGCCTTCATTTTTAATTTCCACAATGAGAAATTTCTCTCATTGAATTTTTCAATATCAAAATTTCGTTGCCATAGCTTCTATTACGGATAGCTCCCACTATTTCACTATCGTGAATAGTTCTCTGGAACCTTCAAAGAATGGGTAATACCTTCTTACTTTCTTATGTTGGAGGATCTACCTTTTAGTGGCAACCACAAAGACAATAAGCAGATATTACACACTCAAAATCTGGCTCTGATACCAATTGTTGCGGAAGACGGCTATCGGATAGAGTAAAATCGCAACTGATAATTTGAGAAAATAAAAATGAAGATAAAAGAGACACAAAATTTACGTGGAAAACCCCTAAAAATTTAGGGTAAAAACCACGGGCAACGGTAGAAGAATTTCACTATGAGAAAATAGGAATTACAACCTCTCTCGATCTACCAAGGAGAAAACAATGATAATTCTCTCTAGATAAAAAGGAGAAAACAACTTTCAAGAAACTCTCTAAAATCTCTCTAGTATTGGAATAAAGCTAGAATGCTTTGGGATGGTTTTGAAGCTAAATGAGCTAGGGTATTTATAGTTGAAACTAAAGGACTAATCTTGTAAATACCCTAAAAGTACAATAACTAAATTAACATTTTTACCATTTGAAAATTCAACATTTTCAAGCTTAATAATTTTGATAGCCGCCCATGTTTTGTTTCCTTTCAACAAACCCAAAAGCGATGAAGTTGGACACAAACATTTCTACTCTTAGACTCAGGTAGAGATGAGATCTGAGCTGAGAAGCAGCAACAAAGTACAACGCGTAGCAGATGTAGCAATCGATAATGACAAAGGTTTCAGTCACTAACAAGAGAGAAAATGATTGAAATGAAAAATTAAATCATGGCCCTTTATCTCTTTCCATAATTTTTGGGATTTTAGTTCATATTAAAAGTGAGTAGATAAAGGTTTAGTTTATTTTATCGGATCGGTTAGATATTGACTTAAATCTTAATTAAAAAAATAAGTTAGATTTTATTATAATTTAATTAATTGAAATTTACTTGGTGATTAAGTTTATTTAACTAAGAATTTTTGGTAGGTAAGTTTGTTTCTCATATAAGTATATGATATGTTTTAGTCTTTAAAATTATAAGAGAGAATTATTTTGGATAACTATCTTTTTTTAAGTCAATGTAAATTAGGGATATTGAGAAAGAACTTTGGGATACATTAAGTTTTTGATATATATACTGAGTTTTGGGATATTTGAAATATAATGTATTTATACTATTCAAAATCTTTACATTTACCGTTAATTATTATTTTTCTCACATGTGGAGGCAAACAAGATTGAATCATATTAAATCTCATCTCTTATGTCGCTTTATTTATTTTTTCAATTACAAATTCTTAACAACAACAGAAAAAAAAGTTGAAATAAATAGATAAATGGAACTAAAAGAGATTTCAGTGACAAAAAGGGCTAATGGATGGCTCTCAACACGCATATATCAAAGCTAAAAAGGACACCTCATGATCATGTAGAAGCAATGTTATCATGTGAAATTTTGGAGATCTATAAACATGAGTTACCCAATTTCTCATGGATAAGCTTCTCCAAACGTTCAACTATGGAGGGTGTGAGATAGTTGATCCAATCTTCCACTTGATCTTTTTTGAAAAATTCCAATCATCAAAAATAAAATAGATAAATAAACTGGTTTGATGTTATAATTTAATCTAACTCACCCTCTTCTTTGAATTGGTACTCTTGTTTCCACTATTATCGTCGTTGTTAATTGTTATTAGGTTGGTAAGAGGAGTTATTTCGGATTTTGTAAAACCTCACCTCTGCCGCTTTTCGACATGAACCATCCTCTATAAGAAACTCCACACCCCTTAAATTATGGATCTGAAAATTTTGATATGTTATTGGTCACATGAGAGCATCTCACGCGTGGGGGGTTCAACAAATAGGTCAAATTAGTTTAGGGGTAAAATTAGTTTGACTCGGACCAAATTTGACCTACTTATCTAACCAAACCTGACCTGTCGACACAATTCATTGACCGTTAATCGTAGATCGTTGACTCTGAACTTTGACTATTTTTGTTGACATTTGACCTTATGTTTTTTTTGGACATATTGAGTTTATCTTTACAGTTTTTTTTCACCAAATTTTGATTAGAAAATCTCATTTTGCATCTTGCATTATTTTATATTGCATTTATGTTAAGTAACTTCCTGAATTAAAAATCTTACCCTCTTTTGAAGGTGATCATGTATCTTCACACCTCTCTTTAATAGATTTGGATCACTTCTATTTAGCTCAACTCAATTTTACACGTTTGACTCGAGTTACACATGAGTGTTGTTAATTGAATTACAAGTTTCTTTTTGTTTATGTATACACTCTGTCCTATTAAATACGTCAATTATTAACTTTTTTAATCAATTATTTTAAACTTTGATTCATTATTATTTAAAATTTATTATTGATAAAAATAAAAAAAATATTTAAAAATTTTAAATCAAGTAATTTATATATATATATATATATATATATATATATATATATTATAAAATTTATTTGTTTAAAATAATTATTATCAAAGTTTAAAAATTGGCTTTTGAAAAATCAATAATGGACACATTTAGTGGGACAGAAGGAATATTGTTTTATTACTCATACAATCTTATATCTTCCTACAAGCATGTTTTTTTTCCTGTTATATGTTATACAACTACACCTAATTCCCGAATAATGATATTATCATGTATGACTCAAGTCTTACTCATGTTCTTGGATTTGACATAATTTGATGAAAATGTATGTATTAGGGCTCTCGAAAGCCATTGTTCCTTTTCGGTGGATAAGATCCACATCTTATTTTCGATTTGAGTTATTTTTCGGAGGATAAGATCCTCCTCCTATTTTCTGTTTTGAGTTCCTCTTTAGAGGTTAACTCGAGTTTCTCTTCAGATGGTAAGATCCACATCTTATATACAGGGATGAAGCTAAGATTGAATCATGAGGGAGACAAATTGCCTAACTTTAAAATAAACAGGATCCTGAAAAATAATTAAACAATAAAAATTAAGAGATGAAGGGTGTTGTTTTAACTAAATTTAAATTCAAAGGTCATAAAAAGTAATTAAACCATATAAATTTGGGGTAAAGGTTAAATTCTATTAATTTTAAAACTGACAATGTCCTAAAAATAATTATACCAAAAAAATTTGGGAAGGACATTGGCTTAATTATAACAGTTTCAAAACTACCAGTAACCTAAGATGTAATTAGACCTACAAAGTTTTAAAACTACAAATTTTGTTCTCTCTTTTTTCAGATTCTTCTAGCCTTTAAAGTTTCGATTGATACTTAGAGGATTAACTAGTAGCACATTTCTTTATATACAATACGAATATTATCATACTTTATTTTTGTTTATAAACTTTTCTATTAGATTTTGATATTTTTATGTATTTGAGACCTTCGGGATGTTATATTTTTATGGGACTTTAGACTATATTTTTGGTATGTATTATATTATTAATACTTGATTTTATTATTAAATTATATAGAAGCTTATACTTTTATAAAATTATGTTAAAGTGATTTGTGAGATTCGATCGTAACGTTTAATTAAGGTTTCAAAATCACACTTTTTTCATGGTTTTGTTGCTTTCTCCCCCTTCTTTTGCATTTAGATCTCATCATGTTTAATTATTCATTTGTTTATTTATTCTTTACTATTATTAACACTTTATTTTTGTTTCATTTATTTAAAAAAAACCGAGATGATATGTGTTTTTTTAAAATAAACTATTAATTTTTAGACGTTGTAGGTATGCTTTAACTTTCTTCACATGTAATTTATTCTCGAAACTAATATTTACTCTAGTTTAAAATGTAGTTCTCTCAAACTGTAATTTTTACATAAATAGTAATTTTATAGGTGTTCGGTTGATATAGCCCAAAATAAGCGATGAAGATTCTACTTTTGTTAAAACATACATATTTTTCAAAAAAAATATTTTCGAACCTTACAAGCGATTTCAACATGAACAATCACAATTGGTGAAATTATCTCTTAAGTCTTTAAATTTTTACTCATTCCCGAATTTCAAAATGAAAAAGAAAAAGAAAAAGAAACCCGCTCCTATCGTATTGGATAGGGTTGTCGAGTCCAGGTGTTTAACCATTCCTAGGAATGAATGCAAGTATATATAATATATTGATTTGTTGGAGTTCATACCTTCTAATATTTCTGTAGCAAATGCAAAGATCTGTCGTTGATAAAGCTATTTCATCATTCATCATTGTACAATATATATATATATATATATATATAGATATGGTTGTGCCTGTAAAACTAAAAGCTCAAAGAGATTACGAATTTGGCAGATGTTTGAGGATTCTTTTGTGTTGTTTTCTGGGATTTCTTCTGCAGGAGAGAATGTTGAAGTGATGAAAGATTTGTCATTCATTTCTGACTTCACGACTTCCTTCAGCTTCATCTATGTCCCGAAATCCTATCATGATATAGGATGGTTCTGAATGTTTGAGCTATAAATGTGATGAAATAAAACACGAATCTGATCCAAATCGTACTAATTTCAGAGAGTTGAGGGTTAGGGTTCTTCCAAGTTGGGATATCAAATTTGGGGTTAGGACTAAAATAGAAAACAATCTATTTAGTTTGAAATCAGTATATTGACGGAAAATTCGGGATTATGTTTTTCAAAATTTTCTTAGTCTATTATAAGATGTAATCTCTCTTCAGATATTTTTTAATTTATTGATATTGTACAGATACCTTGTACACACAAGTACTCGAACTCGAATCTTCATAAAAAATAACAAATATTATTTTTCAAATAAAAATTCATCGAACATCATTCAGAGAAATTTATTATTCTTTATGAAAATAACATAACTATACTGTAAAACAGAGGATGGCTCTCAGCATTCAGCTTGCATATATCAAAGCTAAAGAGTACAACCCATGATCATGCAGAAGAAATGGTATCCTTTGAAGTTTTGGAGGAGAGTTTAAATGTTAAACCTGAGTTTTCCATTTTCTCATGGATAAGCTTCTCCAAACGTTCAACCATGGAAGGTGTGAGATAGTTGCTCCAATCTCCCACTTTTCCTTTCCTGAAAAATTCTTTGTGTGGGATCCCAGTAATGTGTGAGCCCTTCTTGTTCACTTCCAGTTCTTTCAACTTCTCAAAGCTGCAAATTTGTGTTATTTTTTCAACAACTCCTTGTTTCTCTTCATCTTCTGTGAAAGGAACCCCTAAGAACATGGCCAAGTGTTTCAGCTGAGAACTGATGTTCTCCTTAAGATCTTCGTATTTTAGAAACAGAATCTTGTAGGGATTTTCTTGGCTTGCCTTCCAGTAACCCAATACGTAATCAAAAAATGGTCCATACCCACAGATTCCAAGACGGAATTTGTCGAAGGCTTCATCTAGTGGTAGCAACTCATTGTTTTGGTCTCGAAGCTTGTCAATAAAAAGCCAAAGAGAAATGAACGTGTCAAGGGGGTTTCTGCATATGTAAACAATCTTACATTTGGAATCTTTGATGGAAGTGGGCAAAGAAGCATAAGGAAGGTGGGTGGCAAAAGCCCTTGGCTTATAAACACAAATATTTTCCAGATCGGGACAAGGGTTGTTCGAATAAACATCAAACTCTAAGTGACGAACAAGTTGGTGAGGATTAAAGGTGAACAAAGGATGTTCATCGCTTGATAATTGGTTGCGGTACAGAGTTGAGAAAGCCAATGCCTTGAGCCAAGTAGTGCCACATTTTGGGAAAGTGACGATGATAACATCAGAATCCAATGCTTGAAAATGTCTCCGGACAGAAATCACAGGTTTTAGACCAACATCTGTGCACCAAAAGCCTTGAAAGAGAGAGAGACTCGATCCACTGCTCCAGCCTTCTTCTTTAGGGAGGGTTTGAACCAGTTCTTGGAGTTCATCATCCCATGACTTATCCACATCTTGGGCTGGTTAACCACTTTTAGCCTTGCTGATTTCTGCTGTATCCATAATGAAACCAACAATCAATTTCAGTGATCCATCCGATGCTTGGCTCCAACTTAAAGTCCTACTTCAGCAACAACTTTTAGTTTTGCTGATTTCTACCTTATCCATAATGAAAGCAACAACAAATCGAGAAAGGGGTAAAAAAGAGCACTCGATGACTATCATCTTTATCATGAGTTTCCTCTATTTAACAGCAAGTGGAGAGACAACCCACCTACTACACCATGTCTCAAAATATCTTAATATTATCTTATACAATTTCAATTATAAATTCACAAAAACATGTTAGTAATATTTTGAAATTGGGTAAATTATACCATTATGATTCAACTATGCTCTCACTCCTATATCGATTATTGAAGTATAAAACTTTTCAATTTAATCACTCAACTTTAAACATTGATTTTTTTTGTCACTTCATTCTTTTCTCTCTAACACAGTGGTGATATGACATTATTTTATTAATTTAATAAATACCATATAAGCATGAACAAATATTTTTATACAACTTTCTCATTGCCATGTAAGCAACTCCACTTCCACGTACACGACCATCCAAGCACGGAGATAAGTTGATGTATAATAAAACACCACTCAAGTAAGTTTCACTAGCACAAAGATTTATATAGAAGATTTTCTAAGCATTTCTTTATTTGGAAGGTCTAAAAAGACATGTCTCATTATATTCAAGTGCTGGCGAGAGTCGCCGGAATATTCTAGAAATAAATTTTCAGTTGATCGTTAAATATCGAAGCTCCTTCAATTATGAGATTGACTGCGGCAATGATCCATATATCCGACTCGGATCAATAAGTAATTTAGAAAGAGCAAGATAGTTTAGCAATGGCAACATCTATTCTTCATGTTAAACTCGGAGAATCAACACGCGGGTCACCCAAACAGGGAGTCAAATGGGTTTTTCAATGCGACACATTAGTTGTCTGGTCAATGGTTAATGCGTCACATTAGTTTTTTGTCACCTACAGTAACGACAATTTATGTCAAGTGATTGATTTGTTATAAATTGATAACGTTAGTGATCAAATCATATTGAAACTTTAATGGAGAAAAGAGACTCAAACATGGATGATCATTAGTGTCGTTTATTCGAAATAAAAATTAATTTAATAACTTTTTATTGTGTGGCAGATTGAAAAATGACTGATGTTGTACTATATCATGTTAGTATTCAAACATATATGAACGTGTTATGTTAGAAATAAATGTTGATCATTAGTCGATTAATGATTTTTATTTAAAATATATCATTTTGATTAAATAAAATATTTCAAAAGTAGTGACTAAAATAACTAATCGTTACACGTTGTGGGGTTTAATAAACTAGCAAGGAGTTGAATTAGAATTAGAATTAGAATTAGAATTAGAACTTATTTTGTACTGAAGTTGAACAAATCCCTACAGAAGTAGAGTTATATTGTTGATTCGAACTGAGTAAACATTTTTTGTAGTATTTATTTTACATATTTTACGTTTTCTCTTTATTTTTTAAAATTGTTTCCAATACTGCAACTTTAATAATCAACTTTAGTAAAATTATAAAAACATTTTTCAAATACAAATTCACAAAACATCATCCAAAGAAATTTATTTTTTATGAAATAACAGAACTCTGAAGTAGATTGAACAGAGGATGGCTCTCAACATGCATATATCAAAGCTAAAGAGGTCGACAACCCATGATCATGCGGAAGAAATGGTATCCTCTGAAGTTTTGGATGAGAGTTTAAATGTTAAACCTGACTTTTCCATTTTCTCATGGATAAGCTTCTCCAAACGTTCAACCATGGAAGGTGTGAGATAGTTGCTCCAATCTCCCACTTTCCCTTTCCTGAAAAATTCTTTGTGTGGGATCCCCATAATGTGTGAGCCCTTCTTGTTCACTTCCAGTTCTTTCAACTTCTCAAAGCTACAAATTTGTGCTATTTCTTCAACAACTCCTTGTTTCTCTTCATCCTCTGTGAAAGGAACCCCTAAGAATATGGCCAAGTGTTTCAGCTGAGAACTGATGTCTTCCTTAAGATCTTCGTATTTTAAAAACAGTATCTTGTTGGGATTTTCTTGGCTTGCCTTCCAGTAACCCAATACGTGATCAAAAAACGGCCCGTATGCATAGATTCCATTGTAGAACTTGTCAAAAGCTTCATCTAGTGATAGTGCCTCTTGGTTTTCGTCTCGAAACTTGTCTGCGAAAAGCCAAAAGGAAATGGACATATCCATGGGGTTTCTACATAAGTAAACGATCTTACAGTGGGAATCTTTGATGGAGGTTGGCAAAGAAGCATAAGGAACGTGGGTGGCAAAAGCCCTTGGCTTATAAACACAATTTTTTTCGAGACGGGGACAAGGGTTTTGCAAGTAAACATCATACTCCAAGAAACGAACAAGTTGGTGAGGAGTAAAGGTGAGCAATGGATTTTGATCACTCGCAAACCGATCACGGTACAAAGTGGAGAAAGCCAAGGCCTTGAGTGACAATGATAACATCAGAATCGATTGCTTTGAAATGTCTCTGGAAAGAAATCACAGGTTTGAGATCACGAACTGATGCTCCTGAGCACCAAAAGCCTTGATAGAGATAAAGACTCATTCCACTGATCCAACCTTCTTCTGTAGGGAGGGTTTGTTCCAGTTTTTGGAGTTCATCATCCCATGAGTTGTCCACATCATGGGCTGCTGAACCAAATTTAGCCTTGCAGATTTCTGTTGTATCCATGGTGAAACCAACAACCAATCGAGAAAGGGATAAAGATGAATGCTTTAAAACTATCTTTTCTTTTCTTTTTGCGAAAGTTTCATTGATATACAATGCTCGGCTCCAACTTAAGAATTTATGGTGTTGAGCTGTTGATGCTGTCTTCATATGGACTCTGAACCAACTTGGGTAGTTTTGTCTGTTTCACAGCAACTTGAACATTGAATATAGTATAAATTGATGGCGAAGAATATATTCCTAGTTGTATATAATGGTCATCGTGAGCCTTTTTTTAATTTATATAAGTATACAGTATATATATATATATATATATAAATATAATTGTCGAGGAATAATGGTCATCGTGAGCCTTTTTTTAGCTTTGGTATTTGATTGTTAAGAGCCATCCACTTACTGTCTTTGTGAATAAAATCTCTCTCTCTCTCTGTTATGTATTTATTTTCTTTTTGCTTTTTGTTGCAATTTTCTGTGTGAGAGTTATCTTGTTATTTGCACATAAATTTTATCTTAATTTTTACAGATAGAACAAATATAGTTATATTAGTTGATTGTGGTTCATACTTTCTTATTTGAATAAAGAGTTATAATCAATGATCTATTGATAGTTAATCACTAATTATAAGGGAGTTGTAGGTAATTAAGGTCACCTAGAATTATGTGTGGAGAAGAAAGAGGATAATGTGTGAAACTGATAAAGATTCGAGAGTCCCCTTCTCACGTTTTAGACGGATTTTATATATTAATCTCTTATAACTGTTGATGATAACAGTCCTAGAATTATGATTATTGTCTATAACAAGATAAGGTAATTTAATGCAAGTGTCTGTGAAGAGATTTAAATTTACTAAATTTTTGAATTGTCTTATTAAACGATAATGATAAAGATTCGATCCACTGATCGAAGCTTCTTCTCTAGGGAGGGTTTGCACCAGTGCTTGGAGTTCACCATCGCATGACTTGTGCACACCTTGGGATGGTGATGAATCAATTTCACTTTTGCTGATTTCTGCTGAATCCACAACGAAACCAAAAACCAATCAAGAAAGGGTCAAGAAGAGCGCTCAAAAACTCTCATCTTTTACACAAATTTCATCGATTAATAGTAAGTGGACAGAGAATCCACCGACAAAATGCTTGGTTCCAACTTAAGAATTTCTACACCAGCCTGCCTGGAAATTTGTTGAAATACTAAACAACCCAAATGGAATCTGAATTAACTAGGGTTCTTTTTTTTTCAGTCTGTCACAGCCTTGCCTTGTAAACCCAAATACACGGACACGGATTGTTCGAATAAACATAATACACCAAGAAACGAACAAGTTGGTGAGGAGTGCCACATTTACATGCCTCGCAAACCCAGCACGGTCAAAGTAGAGAAAGTCGAGGCTTTGAGCCAAGTAGTGCCATATTTTGGGTTTGTGGCGATGATAACATCAGAATCAAATGCCTTGATACAGATTAAACTTGTTCCACTGATCCAACCTTCTTCTTTAGAGGGGGATTGTATATTTCTGCTGAGCACAAATATAATTAGAATGTGTTTTTTTTGGATGAGATGGTGAAGAATATATTCCTGGCTGTTTCTTTGCATCATCATCCCCTCGTTCATAGACTAATTCTATCATTTATTTTAGAACTCATGCGAATTAATCAATTTAATTTAAGGGTAAACTATACTAAATGATCACTTATATTTGAGTAAGTTTTTCTTTTTCTTATTGATGTTTCAAAACTAACGATTTGATCATTAACATTATCGATTTATAACAAATCGATTTTCAACGGTTACCGGAGGTGACAGAATATAGATGTGGCGCGTTAATAGGATGATTTGATACTGTGTTTACCATGCGAGATAGCCTCCTCATTGATCGGCTTTCTCTCTCCTCCTCAATGACCGTCTCCAAATCTATAGTCGAAGGCACCGTCAACCTAGGGACGTCTTTGGAAACGACCCAGTTCTCGTTCGCATCCAAATGGAACCTCCCACTTGAAGGAGAAAACGCGTGCGCCAACGTCCCTAAAACCCCATCAAACAGTTCTTGATCTCCTCTGAAAAAACCGATCGTGATATCGGTGGTGGAATATGAACCCGTTTCCATGAACGTCAATGGCGTAACGGCGGATCATTAATTCGAATATTGACTCGAAAATTTGGATCATTACACTAATATTCTAAGGAATTTTGTCGGTATGGAGGCTGTTGTGATTCATATCTTGTGCCACACTTTTTCTAGTGGGCGGGTTTTGACATGGTAGGGGTGGTTGGGTCATTGATGTTCGCTGCTCTTGAATGTTCTATTACGAGATGAATGGCGTATGTCTTTGAGGAATGATGATAATCAAATTAAGATTCGAATCAAAAATCTAAAAAAAAAACATTCAAAGCACTGTTTTCCTGAAGTTTCTGTTTTTATTTTACATCAGAAATTGTGTATCACATCACCATTCACTCAATTTTAAAAAAAAACCAACATTCGAAGAAATAATGAAAAGGGTAAATGAATCACACAAATCTATTAAACGGCTTTCTTCCAACAGTAGCAGGCATTGACACAGTTGAATCCACACTCAAATTGCCCAAAGATTGAAGTGATTGATGCTTATCTAAGCCCCTTTGAGATCTCGAATCCTTGCCTGAAAACAATGACCCTTTGCCCCATTTAAATGATCCGATCCCTTGTGTTAACGGGAACGAAAGCCTCCTCTTCGACTCACTCCCCGGTGTCGCCATGAACCTCTCTTTCGGGTTACTATTGGCTCTCACTTTGGCTTTCGCTGAAACTGTAGGAGCCATGTAGCTTGGAACTGAAAATGGAGGGCAGCTTGTCAGGCTGTCATCGTCTTTGGCTGGAAAGTTCATTGGTGAATTGACTCCGATACTACCTCTCGGCCTTGAATGTTTTGAGTTCGACAAACCCGAGCTGGTTGCTTGTGGGGTGAGTGTGAGTCTACTAGGAGGTGGTGGAGTTTGCATAGGCCTTGTTGCTGGGATAATGGTGGACCTTGTGGATTTCGGTGTAGGGATGTCTATGATATTGTCAAATGTGAACTGTTGTACTTGTTGCTTGCTGCTAGACTGGGGCCTTGAACTAGGCTTCAATTCGGAGTTTGGCCTTGATGGTGTAAGTTGGAAGGTCTTCAGGGCTTGGTTTTCGGGTGCATAGGCAGGTGATACTTGACGTTCTAACCAGTTCCACCACCATGGGAATCCGGCAGACCGAATGTCCGATAAACCTGTATAAGGTGATTTTGTTGTATCTTTCCATAGCTGCAATGCAGAGGTGGTCTTAAAATCGGAAGCAAGAAAGAAAAATGCATAATATGATCAATGCTGAAGCCAGGTCTTACTTAAAATGATCTCGCAAAGATCAGTACTTCGTCTGTTCGTTTCTATAGGAAACGGAATTATGCAACATGATATAGTTGAAACCGGACCGTAGTAAAAATAAAAGAGTACCTGGTGGGAATATGCATAGGCCATGGCCTTTTCTCTCTTGATGACTGCTTCCACCTTTCTCTGCATTCTTGCCTCTATTTCTTCCTTCGATAGCACGCTATCATCCCAGTTCTCGTTACCTGCCTCAGACTGATCAGACATTCAACTAAATTTACTCATTTTAATAGCAATATGTTAAGCAAATGTATACGAAACAAATCGAATACACGACCACAAAGTTTCACCAAGCTCCCTATGATCTTATGATCCAGAGTTTTCATAGGCAGAGGCATCTCTAGGTTTGGCAAGCATTAGTTACTTTTAGAATGAAAACTTACTGCCTGGTTGAAGGTCCATCTGCCGTAGGCACTCTCTGCTCCTTTATCGTTCTTAAACTGAGCTTGCCTCCATGCTTGGTTTTCTAACATCTGGATCCTGCGCGAATGAATCTGAGATTGAACTCGAACCAAAAGCTGCATATACTTCATGGCAGTTATAGTTTGACGTTTCGCATTGTGGCCTCTCACAACTCCTTGAAGCCTCACTAGGCCTTTCAAAGCTCTAAAATTTCTCCTTGCCTGTGTAACAAGTTTCAATATAATCAAGTTCAGATATCGTACATTGGTTTGAAGAAATCGATGCAAAGGCGGAAAAGTGGAGGAGAAAGTGACAACATATGCACCAATATACTATTGTTCTGTACAAAGGCTGAAATTCGCATTGTTTGTAATGTAGAACCAGTTGCCTATGCGAATTTCTACTCGAAATCGAGTAAAGGACCTTACCATGTAACCTCTAAAGGCTGCTTGAATCTTCGTAGCTGAAGCATGATGGTTCCTTAAAGTTGGTTCAGGTCGTGGACGAACAATCCTCGGAGAAGCGGCTCTCGGAGAGGCAGCTCGCCCAGGCGGAGGCGGAAGTGGAGAAGCCGCCCTATGAGAAAAGGCTCGAGGAGGGGATGCAATCCTCTGAGAAGAAGCCCTCGGGGATGCAATCCTCTGAGAGCGAACCCGAGGAGAAGCAACTCTAGGAGGCACAAAAGGCGGTGTTCTTTGCTGCTCCGGAGGTGTCGGAGGCCGGAAAATTAGTTTATGATCTCCTTCAGCCTCCCCCAGAATTTTCTCGATACTGCTCGGCTCTCTGAAGAGGGGAATGAAGGAATTGGTCTCTCCATGCTGGTACTTTCCATGACCTTTCTTCTTCTTTCCTTTACCATCTTTTTTATCGGATTCCTGAAACGACTGTAATCCGAAATATCAGTCTCGAATTCGATACATCCATAGCAGAAAAATGTCGACAGAAGAAGTAGTAAACACCAACTTACATTATTTAGCTTCTCCTTGGAATGTGATACGAAAACTCTTTTAATTGCAGAAAACCAACCTCCTTTCTTTCCCATTCTGCCAGCATTACTGTGTATGCCTAAGCATGTGGAAAGAAACAGAGTAACGGAAAGTCCGCAGGCCTAATCGTGTATGTCGTCGGAGATACCGATCCGTCTATCTGTGTACACATGACACACAAGATTTAGAACAAATACGGTATAGTACTTATCATATATAACATTTCAAGGCAGAGAACTTTTCCTGCAGACAAAGGATTCACTTCCTCAGCCATGAAAGCTGATGAAACTCAAACTATGTACACACATACATATATATAATAAGTAAAGATCAAAACATGTAAGTACCTTAAAATGGAGAGCTTCCAAATTCTGCAGCTGAGTAATAAGAAGGTAGGAGAGAAAGAAGAGTCCCTCTTCTTTTCTAGCCTCCTCCTCCTCTCCTACACGATAAAGTTAATGTTTTTAATCACACAGCATGTAAGTAACGCATTATGTTGTGTTTCCAACGAATTCTTCTCTTTTCGAATTGAAATGACACTACTTTTTTCTTTTGCCAACTTCAGCTTTTGATATGGATTTATAAATTATAGTGCTTGAAATTGAAAGAGAAAAAATAAATGAAATGACGAAAGGGATGGAGTTGCTGCTGATAGAATGATGATTATATTAAAAGAATGAATTGAGTAAGGAGGAGGATGGCCACTTTCTCACTCAATGTGCCAACTTCTTCAACTACTTTTTAAGGGGCCTTTACTTCATTTGGAAGACTATAGGGAGGGGACAGCAACCATAACGGTTAAGTTTGGTACTCTTCCCCTCTTTTATTATTGTTATTATTAGATTTTTATCACACCTATTAACATAGAGTTTATAAATATCTTATCTAATAATAAATTTTTAAAAATTATTAAACAAACTAGTGTAGATGGAATTTATAAAGTGGCTTCAGTAGTAGAAGGGAATGTTGTTATCGTTTAATTATCAAATTTTACTTTTACTTATTTTTTATGAAGTTATATACAGTTAAAACTCTATAAATTAATAATGTCAGGATCGGAGAAATTTATTAATTTAGAGAGTTATTAATTTATCGATAAATTAATAATTATTAATTTAAAGAGTTTTTAAGTAATTATACTGTACGTACCAAACAAAAAGGCAAATTAGTCTATGCCTCTTAGAATTATATTACAAGAGATGAGTTAAATTAATAATGAGCTCCAAATAGATTTGAACTTTAAAGGAAAACAGACAACTATTGAATCATATTTCAATAGAGTGTAATATATTTTTTTCAGTTTCTATGAATTATTAATTTATGATTTTCTTGGGACCGAAAATTATAAAGGGATCTCACAAAAAATTATTATCTTATTATTTTATCGAGTTTTTCAATTTTTTACATTGGCCCAAGTCGGGACCGGACAAATTTATTATTTTAGAGAGTTTATTAATTTATCGAGTTTCTATTGTATTTTGTAAACTTAATTATAAATATAATATCAACGATAAATGCATAATTGTAGTAATACATTAAGGGTAAACTATATAAATTATCACTCAACTTTTTCTTACTATTATTTTGGTCAACAAACTTTAAAAAAATAATTTAATCACTAAACTTTCAAATTACTCTTGTTTTGATCACTCAAACGTTTATCTAATTGTCAATTAACTTGACATTTGTATTAAAGCTTTATATTGGCCTATTTTGATCTCTTGAGTTCATATTCAACATTTGTTCCACTTAAACCCATAAACCTTAACTAAAACCTAAACCCTAAATCTCAATCAATCTATAAACATCAAAACATAATCAAATCTTAAATCTCACACCCCATTTTCGATCATAAATCTCATTTTTGCCCTTAACTAGCAGTTGAATGGAGAATCCCAACGATGAAAAGATTGATGTTGGTGAAGTTAACAATATATATTAAAACCATGATTACTTGATAGTTGAATACTGAAATCGATGAAGGATAATGTTGTATGTTTGGGAGAAATGAGAAGCTAGACTAAAATACTTGTAGAGGGAGACAAAATGAGTTGAACAACATTATTGTTGGTCAAAAGTGATGTCAAAATGTGATAGTTCAATGGATTGAAATTGTCATATGGAATATTCGTATAACTTGGGTGTTTCTCGATTAAACGAACATTGAATTCGTGTTCAGAAGGGAGAAAAGAGTTTAGAGGAAAATTTTAGGATTCATCGACCTCCGAAAATGGTGGTTAGTGATAGTAAGAATAACAATTATCATGGTGGATTAAATCTGAATTTTATTTAAGGGAGAGAAAGGGAAATAAAAGAAGAAGAAGAAGAAGGGAAGAAGAAGAAGGTAAATAAGGAGAAAAGAAATAATAGTTTTATAGGGAAATAAAAGAAGAAGAAGAAGAAGAAGAAGAAGGTAAATAAGGAGAAAAGAAATAATAGTTTTATAGGGATAGAAAGCGATGCCATTTTGATTTAGATATATTATTTGTAAGGAACTAAAAAGATGTAGCTTCAGTATAAATTATCATGTCATAATATCGTTAATAGTTTAACAATATATTGACCAAAATATGAGTGATTAAAAAGTTGAATAATTAAATTAAAATTTTTAATCTTTAATGATTAAAACAAGAGTCAGAAGAAAGTTGAGTGATGAAAAGAGTAACTTAACATACATTAATTAACCTTAAGAATTCATTTAGGTTAAAATATTCATTACCAATTGATATGGTATGGAAAATTAGCTGACCCTTTTTATCATATGTAATGGGGTAAGGGGGAGGTATGATAGTAGATTGTCCCCAACACCAGGTTGAGAGCAGCTTTCGTGGGAGACATCCGAATTATGAAATGCCCTCCGTGGGACTCAATCGCACAACCACAAGATTAAGAGCCTTGTGCTCTACCGACTGAGCTGGATGGGTGATTCATGGTATGGAAAAATAATTTTAATTAAAAAAAGGTTGGTGATAATAATGATACGGATTCAATGCTTTTAATTTTTCATAATGTTAATATATCATTTATATTTTTCATAATTTTTTAATATACGGATATTTCCATGTGTAAGGGCATCAAATGCAACGGTCCCTTTATTGTGGGCAGGAGCGTGTTCATCACCTGCCATTTATTGCAGTGGGGCTAGCATTTACTCCTCCCTGTAATAAAAACAGAGAAAATGATAGTGTGAGGTGGTCCTCATGACTATGGATGACGGTGTGTACCAGAGACACAAACCGTTGGATCGGTATGAAAATCTAAATATTTGTAGAATCAATGATGAGTATGATTGACCATACAAACTTTTGGCAAAAACTTTATACACATTGTTTTCTAGAAGAAACTTCATTCTTAAGGAGGGATTTTTAAGCCAACCAATTTCACTTTAACTTACCAAATTGAGGGATAAATTTGTGTTTTGAGCCTTACAATATGCTTAGATTAGCATTAGTGAAGAAAAAGAGAGAAAAGATAAAGAAAGGAAAGCACTACATATTATCTTGTTTGATACGTAAATTAAGCAAAGCAAACGAAAGTAAACAATTTTAATAGTTTCTGTTTGACTAAATTGTGAAAAGAAATAATTATAATATATTTTTTTCATAAAAAAGATAAATTTAAACTTTTAATCTTAAAAATAGCTTTTCACCCTTTTTCTCTCTCGCTTTAACCCTAAACTAAGGTAATTAAAAATAATTTAGGGGCACATAGAAACTAGCCATGTTTGTAAATTATGCGTCAGACATGGCCCAACATTCCTCGTATGTCTATAAAACAACAATAGTGGGATTTATCCATTTTTTTTCCTTCTTAAAAAACTATTTAGGTGGAGTGCTTTAAAATGAAAATGTCAATTTGTTTTTCTTTAAAAAAATAGTGAAAACGTGTTTATAAATTAAAAACAGTGAAGAGAAACATGGGTAGGGTAGGGTAGGGTAGGGGATGGCAAAAGAAAAACGTGTGTAGGGTAAGGTGTCTTTAATCATTACATGAATTTGGTATCCTTTACTATTACATTCTATTGTCTAAGACAGATTCTCATTACATCATAAGATATATTTCCCCCCTTTTTGTTAAAAAAATGGGGACATCATAATAATAGTAAGATAGGATGTTGTTGTCATACACCAACAGAGCAACATAGGACTGAACATATTTTCTTCAGCAAACAAGAAAAGAAAAAATAGATATCTTTATTTTTAAAAACAAGACTCATGTTTGATTTATTTGATAAGGAGACTCCTACTTAATGAGGACTCAATTTGGAACGCCTGGATCCACGGGTATGTGCGGGTAGGTCTTTTTGGCAGGTAAGGGACTCCCCTGGTGGTGGCTGGGTGTGGAGTTGCCTGTTGTAGCTTAGAAGCAAGGCTGTTGCGGTGGGAGGCGCTCTTTTGAGGCCTTCGACATCGGTGGTAGATATTTGGAGGAACATTCGATCGCAAGATGTGAGAATTACTTGGGATAGATTGGTGTGGCACTCAGGTCATATCCCGAAGAATTCAGTCCTCTCTTAGATGGCGATGCTTGATAGGCTACCTAGTAAGAATCGATTAACGTCGTTCGATTTGAATATTGAAGGTATATGTGCTTTGTGCTTGAATGAGCTTGAAACTCGGGATCATTTATTCTTTATTCTTTGGATGTGTTTACTCTAGGCAGGTTTGAGTGAGTATTTTATTAGCTTGCAATATAGTGAGTCCAGTCATAAATTGGAACCATAAAATTAACTGTGCGTGTCGCAACGTGAGAGGGAAAACTGCTCTCGCCTACATGTTTCGTGTGGCCTGGAACTGTTTCATTGTGTTTATTTGGAAGGAACGTAACTGCAAGTTGATTTAGGGGAGGCAGTCGTCGGTGGAAGAACTGTCGATTCGCTTGAAGGTTATAATTCAATTGAAGTTTACTGGTACGAAGTTGCTAAGATGGGTCTTTTGAGGTGTAAATGTATAGGGGTTTTTTTTTTAAGTTGTGTAGTTTTGTACCGTTAATGATTTGTTTGACAATGAATTTTTACATTCATCGAAAAAATATCTTGTACACGTAGGTACTCGAATCCAAAACCTTTAAAGAAAATATTTTCTTTAACCGTCAAATAGTTGTTGATGAAATAATAATAATAAAAGAAACATTTTTGTGCATTGAAATGACATTATTACACAAAAATATACTAACAATGGAATGATGTAGATTAGGTAACCACTATCCCTTCATTTATAATTTTAGCATGATTTTGTTTAGAGTTGCGTATAAGCAATTCGAGTGATTCAAAAGTCTAGATATTTTATTTGTTTGAATTTATCTAGACCTAGATGAAAGATTTCGTAATTTGAGTTAATTCAATTCTAATTATTATTTAATATAGGACTTTATTTAAATTTAAAATTATTAAAATAAACTGTTTATTTTTTAAGTTTATCATTTTAGTTATTTTAACTCTTAAATTTTAGTTATTTTTTAAGTTTATCATTTCGTAATTTGGGAGAGCCACCTTCATAACAAGT